AGAAAAAAATTATACGAACTTCGCAATATAAGTCATATGTATTTTAAAATTTTCTCTCAATCATTTAAAAGTTATTTTTAAAATTTCCCTTGCAATATTATCATTACACGTGAATACAGTTTCCGACTTAAAAATATCAGTTTTTAGAAGTGTTTGTTCGAACTCCCGTAAACTACCACCAACTCCGAAATAATGTAGTTTTGCTGAAAGTAAGAAGAAAAATCATTTAGTTTACAAGCATCCTGCAGATTTGAAGCCACTATGGGATATATCCTCTTCGATTAAAATATTTCCCATCAAACTCACCTGCCAAATAACATGCTCCGTCCGGTTTTAGTTTAGTTTTTATGACATTTATCAGTTTTTCATAATTGGCAGCATTGTAAATAGTCTCTGACGTCAAAATGAAATCGAATTTCTTTCCATCTTCTGTGTTCTCCGTATAATTTGACCAGTCACCAGAGTAGAATCTGCATCGTTCTTTGAGCTTCTCTATGGACTTTGTATTCACAAGTACATTCGGTATGGTGATGTGCTCTAGCACCGTTTTATTCTGTGGATAGAGGTGGATTTAACATAGTTTTATTGAGGAAACAAATCTAAGCCAAAAAGAGCAGTAAAATCTTACATAGTCTTGAAAATGAACTGTGGCACCAGCTTGTAATACCAATATTCCAAGAATTCCAGCACCACAACCCAAGTCCAGCACCGTACTATCTTCGAATTGATCAATCAAACACTGTGTTCCATCTGGTCGTGTTAAATAGTCACCTACTGTCTCTGTGCATTCCCATACTTTGGCACCGCCTTTAAATTTCATATTTGAGTTATTGTCTCGAAAACACTATTACCGAGGTAAACCACATTATACCTTCATAGATGCCTGCAATTAAATCAGAATGATTCTGTTCGGCACAGCCTATATCATCGAATTCATTGACCAACTTGCTGATTATATCCTCAATTGGCACATGATAGACATTGTGCTTGGGAAATGTAATGCATTTTAAAGTTCTAACTAAATTCGGTGCAAAATAGTCACATTCGGCTTGCTTTTTTGATGGAAATATTTCATGGCATTCGTCATGTTTGCTTACGGATTTCGGTTCAGCTTTTGTCTCTGTAAAAAGAATGCTATTTCTTAGTGTGGCTTTTTTTTAAATTATAGTTTTCCGGCATTATTCACTGACCTGTCACGTCGTTTTTTGGTTTCTCCTTGTCGTCATTGTCTGTAATAAAATTGAATTTAAACATAATTCCAACCCAAAGACCGCGACAATCAAATCACAATAATATACAGCCGTGTTCACATGTGATTTTTCATATGTGTGCATGACAGATCCACTGAACTGGAATCGAAATGTCAAAATACGTAATTCTCCGTTTGACAGTTCAAGAAAAACCAAAATATAAACATTTGTAACATTTAGCTTTGTTTTTTAATTAATTTTTTTTTTTTGTATTTGATGATAGCAAATTTTTTTGTGGAGAAAAGTAAATTTCTACGAAATTTTTATTGAAATTCAATGGAAAATGCCGTCATTTTGTGCTGTATCGAGTTGTGAGCTGAAATATTCACATTCAGAGAATGTTTCATTCCACAAGTAAACAAATTGTTTTTACACAATATTTGCAAATGATTTTTTTATTGGAATTCTTTGAAATTTTCCAGATATCCACTGAAGAATCCAAAGGTTCTGGCTAAATGGATTCAATTCACAAATCGCGGTTCATCATGGATGCCCTCGCGTTGGAATTCAATTTGCAGTCGTCATTTTCAGAGCTCCTGCTTCAGAGAATATCTATCGCGAAAGTGTTTGAAAAAAGAAGCCATTCCGACAATATTGCCGGAAAAAAGTAACATATCATATGAGACCTATCACATTTCGAGTGATTCGCCAGACGAAACACGAACAGTTCAATCGGAACACGATGAGTACGGAGTGTCAGGCGGGACATTTGATGACAGTAAGGCTGCATCGGATGCCATTGAGTTGTGTCGATTGTGCGGAGACCGTGCCGATAATCTAACTTGTAATCCATTGCGGTCGCTGGAAGATCCATCGATCATTTTGATGTGTCAAAAATGTTTGCCTTCACTAAACACTTATAGCTTTGCAGATCAGTCACGAACGATTTGTACCGATTGTGTGGCTCAATTGAAGCAATGTTCAGAGTTTATCGATAAAGTTCTATCGTACCAAAGGGACTTGAGTGAAAACATTGACAATAACACAGTCGCTGAGAAAAATAGTCGAATCGATGGCAATCGAATAAATAGCGGTATAAAATCATCAACACCAATACTATTTATCAAACAAGAGCCGATCAATGTGAAACAGGAAAATGTCGAAAGTTCAAGTAGACGACCGTACACAGTACAAGTTCCAAATGTTTCACCCACATTGTGTCCAAATCCATTTGCTGAATCGAATAAGATAAAAGGTGTTGTGCAACAGGAGGATATTAGTATGCCGAAATCCGAGTTCAATTCGACATATTGTCAAGAATGTGATCGGATTTTTGTGAATAACCATGAATTTCGGTCGCATGAATGCTTGAGTGTGGACCATAGCACTGATCGTGATCGAGAACAAGGAAATAATTGCGAAATTATGGAAGTAATCACATTGAACAATCCAATCAGTTTTATTGACTTGGCAGAAGATGAAAATGCAACAAACATTGAACTGAGAAAACCAAAGCCGGAAGGAAACTTTGATGATCGAGAACGACTTGAATTTGAGCATGCGTACGCAAAACGAGCCACAAACACATCGTGCAATTTAAAACAAGAAATTATTGACTCATATAATGAGACGTCACAAAATGGATACGATTACAACGACTATGACGAGAATCATGGCGCGTATTTTGAAGCAAATGTGAACATTTTTGAATGCATAAAATGCAATCAATCATTTGTGTCACAGCAATTGCTCGACGAGCACACAGTCAAATTACATCCATTGAAACATAAAATCTGTACGATTTGTAGTGCTGAATTTAAGTCGAGCTATGACTATTTGATTCACAAGAGAAAAGTACACACACGATTCTATCAGTGCAAACAATGCAAACACAAATTTCACACGCAATCGGCGCTACGGTTTCATGAACGACTTTGTACGTGTGAATCGAAAGATTTTTGCTTTTCATGCAGGCATTGTGGCAAGAGCCAATCCAATCTTGCGGTTATGAAGAAACATCTGACCAATTGCACGGGTAAACAATCGGAATTATTGCATGATCAACAGCAGCAGCAACAAGCTAAGAAAGAGCCGTATACGGACCAAAAACATGAGTGCTCTGAACGGGGTTTATCGTGGCAAAAGAGTCTTGTTGTAAGTAGATAGTTTTTGCACCATTGCAGATCAATGTAAATTTGGTTTTTTCTTCTCTTTTAAAATCAGCACAAAGACCCCAGGAATGCCAACGAAACATCTGAAATAGCAGAAAACGCAGATATTCAAACTGATCTGATTGATGTACAACCGATTGTACTCAACATTGGCGGCAGCGATGATTCTGCGCTAAAACAAAGCTTTAAATTCATCATAGATGACAATAAATTTATATTTCTAAATGATACCAAACTAGCACCATCCAATGACAATCAGAAGAGTTCTCTAAATGGCAAATTTGCATGCGATACATGTGGCCTACCGTTTGGGTCATTTATTGAATTGCGACAACATAAAGCGGAGCATGATTCGGAACGCAAATTCAACTGCTCTTTGTGCCCAAAAACATTTAAAGGGATATCGGGTCTAAAGCAACACATTAGCGGATATCACTATAAAATCAAACCATTCTCATGTCCGGTCTGTGGACACGAATATGCTCTAAAGGGTGATATGCAACGATGTCGCCATTCAAGGCTTAAGAATCAAAATTCCTTCAAAATTATACAAAACAGCATTGATTAAATGATTTCATTTCAATAACGGGTACAATTTTTATTGATTTTGCAAATACAAAACAGCATTTGATGGGAACAATTTTTCACTTATTTTTCTCTTTCTTTCATTTTTACAATTAAAATACATCAAGATGCAATAAACAATATAACTAAATTATTTTTGTTTTATACAATTTTTTGTTTGTTTTTTTTTGTTTGTTTTCGACTAGCTTAAAGCATACTACTGTTAAAATCTTACATTTGCTACGATGATGTTTGAATTTAATTTACATATATAATTCAGAAGAATTCTTAAAACGAACGCAAAAAAACGGTTTGCATGGGCAACAAAAAAAATCTCAAAAAAGATTACACTGAGAAACGAAAATCAGATCGACAAACATAAAATATTTCAATATATTCGCAAAAAATTAATCATGAAAATCTTTCTCAAACAATCGAATACTAATTTTGTTGAAAAATGGCGGCACGCTGTTGGAACTGTGTGCGACGTATTACTTTCTCTTCATCGGCACGTTTTCGTTCCTCTTGCTCTTGGCGGATTTCGTCTGCGAATTTATTGGTAAGAAGTTGCTCTTGAATTTTTGCTTCGAAGAAACTTTTGGCGCCAACCACACCCACTTCGTCTACGTCGATTTCGGTTAGACGCGCCAATTCACTCAAACCCGAACCAGAATCCAAGTCACCAGCTTTGGCTTTTCTGTTTGGAATAAAAATTGAACGAAATTATCAGCAATTTTGTGCGAAATGTTTTTTTTTTTTTTTGTTACGGTTACGTCATTAAATTTTATTATTTCCAAGGACAAAATTCAAAAATAAAAAGAGAAATCAAATTTACCTGTAAATCAGCAAGAATTCGCGGAACGAAATCTTTCCATCTTGATCTTCATCGACTTCGGCAATCATTGCTTTCAATCCAAGATGTGTTTGCGGTGCTGACAATTTTTCCATCATCACTTTCAATTCGGCTAAATCCAAGAAACCATCGTTACCAACATCGTATCTAGAATTGAAAAAAAAAAGCAAAATTCCGTCACGTAAGCTGTCACCGCAAATAAACAATAAAATCGAGTAAACAAACAGAGAGTGACAAAAATGTTCAATTCAACGTAGAGAATCGTTGTCATTCTTCTGAATAACAATGTATGCGGTTTTATCGTATATCTTTTATAATACAACATTTTTACTCATATTAACACAATGGAAAAATATTGTTAGTTTTGCATAGAAGTTTGAGTTTGTTTTTGGATTTATCAAAAATTGATTTTATTGATGCGAAAACAAAGAATTTTATGAATTTTGAGGTTTGACGCTGTTGATTTAATATGAAAATGCTTTTTTTTAAGTCTACATACTGTCATTAAATAGTTTGTGGCATGGTAGTAAAATGTGTTTTTATGGTGTTCACAACTTTATTAGATCGATGCAATCGACAGGAAATGAAAATGGCAATGACATTTCTGGAGCCCAGATGTCTGATTTTAGTCGCCGCCAATACTATGTACACTTTCAGAGGTCGAAATGAAATTTATGCCAAACTACACCGTTTAATGTAAAACGCTCGTTTTTTTTTTCATTTGACAAATTCCCTACGGACTCGTTAATTTATTTGATGGTCAGTCGTTCATTGCTCCGATTCGCTGATATATATTGCAAGCATTGGACAAATAATGTAGAATTGTTGTATATCCGTATGCAATAATGTGAATAGGGAGATTTAAATAAAAGGGTAATCGCCTTAAAATTCAACTTGTTCCAATGCAAATGTACCTTCTGTGTACGGCATTTTTTTGTAATGGCACCATTGGTACTGCATATCAGTGACCGTTGGAATATATCGCATTGTAAAGTTCAATTGCGTTAAAAATAAACAACACCATATACTGCGTACTGCGTATGTGTGTAGTATGTAAAGGGTCCTTTCGTGACTATATAAGATAATGAAAGTGCGTTCACATCTGAAACACACCACATTATAACTCATCGCGTCACTCGGTCTGCCAATTTCCAAAATTAATAAAAACCCAAGCTGTAATGAAAAACAAGAGAGCTGGCCACAGTGTACATTATGAGTTTCCTGTTTTTATTCGAAATGATTGGAGCGGGTTGATTGAGTCAATTTGATTCAAAATCGACAAAAATGCGAAATAATATGCGTATATGATTCATTCGGTCGTTTTTTTTGTATAGTGTTTTTATTAATGTTGATTAGCAACTCCAATCTGTTGTGAGCATTCAATCGGGTATATTCATACTGTTAACTGGTTTTGACAATGCTACAGTTCACTTAACTGATGACTCAAACTTCATTCAAAGTCCATTGATAAACTTAAGATTTTAAACAAATGCTCGGAAACAATATTATTATGACTGTTTTAAAATCGCCATAAATGGCCAGAGAATAGATAGTTTACTCAGAATGTGTGCTCATTCAGAGAAACTATATTTAGTTCAGCAAATCTGAAATCAAATGTGAATTGCAGCGCACGCAATTTCAGCACTCACAATTATGAGTAATTTCTGCATGGTTAAACAAACGATAGTCTTCGTATGAAATCACATGAAAGTGTTTCTCATTTGATGTTCACTATAAAGAAGGAGAAATATGAACCGTTTTTTTTTCTTCAATTTGAGTAGAAATAAATCTGTCACTGTTACAAAGTTGCTTCGTTTGTGTTTTTTTTTTCATATCAACACACGCGCTTGACAAAGTGACGGGAACATAATCTGGCGCATTGAAATCGAGAGCAAACCATACCACAATTACAATGATTGATTGTCGCTTCTGAATTACGGTTTTTACATAACACTTATCTACGCATAATCAGCCAACAGTAACAATTTGTAATAAGTCAAAGTATTATTTTTTTGTGTTTGTAAATGAAAGTATTGACGTTAATGAGACCATATCAAAAGTAACAGATATCAAATGACAGTATATCAACAAAAGTGTGAATTAGTAAATGTTTGCCGTTTTAAACGCGATCAGTTACGATGAATATCTATTTAAATCGATTTTTTTTTGTTTGTTCGCAACAAAATCATTTTCTTATCATCGTCAGTTCATGGGACTATTGAATTTTACATTCGAAAACTTTGCTTTTATCAGTTGAATCATACAGAATCACTTTCGCTAAGTAAACACATCTAAAATATGTGTCACACAGTAAGAGGATCCATAAAGAAAAAGTTCAAATTTCACGGAACCGCAATAATGGATTCACTTTCATTCAAGATTTATTTAAAGCTGATGCATAAAAACGCGAATCAATTAACTGCCACAGCAATAAACCATGTCATTTATTATTTTCTAAATGAATTTTGATCGTTTGATGTGTCACACATCAAACATAATTTGATGAAACGATAAAACGATTAATGCATCGAAGAAAAAGAGTTCGTTTTTAATCGCTGTTTTTACGCCGCAATCGTTTGAATGGAATTAGACGTGTAGTGCAATTGCCGTGATTTATGTTTTAAAAGTCTATTTTCGTATGATATTTACACAATATTTACATTTAACGAGGATGTGGCACGTATACGGATACATGTTGGGTAAACAAATCAATGTCCAAAATAAAACCCACACAAAGATCACAAACGTATGTGCCGTGTGCAAGTGAAAAAATAGACGCGATTCACTCTCCGAGTTGATCAAGTGAATTTGTTTCTTCTTGGTTTTGTTGTTGTTGTACAGAGTTCAATGATCATGCCGGTTTTTTCCTATTTCGAACCAAAATTATAGTATGATTGTAAAAGATCCGAATATAGTGATGGAATTTTTTTTTTGCTTTCATTCGAACATATGCAGCAAAACAATTTCTCAATTGCCAATGTATCAAAAAAGGAAGAACGTCTTTATGAAAATAGAAATTTATCGCAATTGAAAATTGCCAATACAAATGGAAAAGAAAATAATGTTCAAGTTCCTGATTTATCATAGTTTAGATAACTTTTATCCGTAAATAGAAACATACGGTTCGAGCAGTTGTTTATTTTTATGAAATAATCGCAAACTGTTCGGGTTCTAAGATAAAATATTGAATTGAAGTCATGAGACGTCGAGTGATATTTTTCAAACATATTTTTGCTGTGTTTGGTGCATACGTGCACTTCAACAAAGAAAAAAAGGCAAAAAACGGCAAAAAAATACTTAGTAAACAAGCAGTCATTTCAATTAACTCGAAATTAGTTCAAAAGGAAATCCAATTTGAATAACGTGAAACATTTCGTTTCCACTTGTGAAAATCTTGATCTTGTTTGGTGCATTTCTTCGTTGAAAATGTGATAAATATTTGCGTTGTTTCGTTTTTGCTTGGGAAACGGTTTGAATTAATTGTGATTCGGAAGTAAGGTGTTGCATGTGGAATGCTGCAAAAATTTCATGTGATACATTCACCCATTTTAACTCTCTTTCTCTGTGTCGATGGCATTGTGTTCGTGGAGTATGTGTACGTGTTATTTTTTTTTATTCACCGTTGGTCTGTCTGTGTGTCAGATGAAATTTACCCATAAATACATATGTGAAAGTGAAACAATTGAGCGCCTGGTGTCTCTTGCGCGTCTTTTTCATTCAACGCGATCGCTTTTTGTTTCTCGAAAAATATTTATTTCAGCGTTCATTTGTTGTCCACATTTACGGCGTCACTTTGCGTCAAATGAAGATGAATACAATGCAATCAACGTGAAAGAATGTTCAATTGCAATCGCTTACTTTTATGCATGCATTTAAAATGTGTTATTGTTTTGAATGTATATTTAGCAAGCAATTAAACGAGCAATTGTTGCTAATAAATTACGCTTTTATTTCTACGAACTCAACATTAAACCAAATCAATGATTCATTTTCCAATCTTTTTCTCTCTCTTCTAGCTCCATTTTATTTCTATATCGACGATGATAATGTAAATAAGCGTGTTAACTGGGGCTGAAAATCAGGTGAAAGAAAAAACTGCCAACAAATTTCATATCTTTTTTAAATACTATTTATAAAAATGCCCATTTACGTTGAATGAGAGCACGATTCAATCAATAATACACAGAGTTTTCTGGATTGGACGACGTTGAAACTATTTCGAGAATTATCGGAATCTATGGTTCAACAGGTGCAGGTTAATTAATAACATGCGAATAACTTCTGTTAAATTGACATATATACGGAGTTACTTCGGTGTCTTGGTGTGTACGACCACTCGATTTCAATATTCTATTATATTTTGTATTTGAAACTTGAATGAAAGCATGTTTTAAGTGTCCATAAAGCATCAGCAAATGAAAATATGTCTTTTTTTTTAACTACGAATACGTTAATAGCTTTACAATTTGCGTCGCTTACAAATTACCATTATGGAATATCCCTCTCGATTTTGTGTTTATAGCCCATACGTTACTTTATTACAAAACACGTTCATTTGATAAGAGTTTCTTTTTCTATAGAAAACCATTCGTTTGTGCAGAGACTTAGTAAACATATTCGATACGCTTTATTGGATAAAGTATGGTGTAAATCAGATATGCGACACACACACACACACACAAGGGCACATTGTTTTTTTTATTGTTTATTTCAGGTTTTCACCAAGTACGAACGCTTCTGACGAATATATCGAGCATGCATTGATGATTAAGTGCAAAGTGAGTCATTGTTAAAACAATTAGAATTCATCATTCGTTCAAGGAATTCACGATAAGAAATTGGAGATTTTAAATAGCATTGCGTCTTTTGAGCAATAAAACCATAAAACATGTGTTAGCAACTTGTAATGCATGTTATAGCTGACAACTTTAGCTTCAAAAAATTGTATCAAATAAATATCGTTGCGGTTGCAACATCGAATCGCCACAGACTCTTTGTAAACATAGAATTTTTTTTTCGGTCGGAAAGTTAGAAGGGAAGCCAGTGTCTAAGTTGACGATATTTGTTTGCATGTGAAAAGAGACATGCAAACAGCAACTGTGAATAGCACAAAGAAACCGACGACAAACAGAGCAAACGATTTCTTTGAAAGAAATTTAACTTAATTGTTTACATGCGCTTTGTTTGATAACAATTGCCATTCTCTCTGTGTCTGTGGCTATATATGTGCTGGCTTCTCACAATTATTCGTTGGCGATTACGATTATGATTATTTTCTCGCTTTTTTCTTGCATAGATTCTATACTATAGAATATATTATTCAGAGAGCTCACTGTGAAGCCACTTTGGTGTTCTCGCTGTTTTAAGATTCTTGACCCCTATACACACATCTGAGTCACATAGAGATGCACTCATTGCAATGAAGTGTGTTTGTTTTTAACTCTCAATGCTGTCGACTACTTTACATCTGGGTGATATAGATTAATCTGTTAAGAGGAAACAAAATGCGGGACTTTTCACACAAATCTCCACATCCACGTCATATTGTTCATCGGACCGATATTTGTATACTGATTATTTTTTTTTAAATTCTGTGCGCAAAGACAAAAAAATATTTCAAGAGGCCCGCGTTTCGACTCTTTTTCCGAGCCGGAATTTGTGTGTGAAAGAGAATATCGGCCTCACACAGCGATGTGTGATATTTTTATGTGAAAACCGCAGTGGTGAGCGCATGAGATAAACAATGCGATGAAAAATCAACGATATATTTGTTCTAAATTTCCGCTATGCTCATGCCCAAATCCTGTACTACAGCATAAGAGGTTTTCACCTCCTATTGCATAGAGAATGAGCGTACACAGAATAAATAATGAAGTCAAAGAAAAAAATCAATACGACAACGCAGTGTTGTTGGCTTTAACGCCACTTCATGTCTATACAAATTGAACGTAATCTTGTGCACGTGCTCGGAACTATTACATTGAGTTACATCCCATTCTTATTTGTTATCTCGTTATACCGAACGGATTATTCCATATGAAACACCTCGGATTTAGCGCCGTCTATATAGAATTAGCTGTTTCATTCATACGTGTCTGTTAACAATGATAAGCGCATGAATCGGTGTTCTTATCGATACAATTACCTACATGTTCACCGATTTACGCTCGTTAATTTACAATTATTATTTCAAACCATTCGACCCATTTAAATAGGCATTTTATATTTCATTTTTTTTGTTCAGTGTGGCATTCTTTGAAAAAGAGGTAATGCAAAATCAATATAACTCTGACCAAATGGATCAGACATGCATGTGTGCAGTGAGCATGAAAACCAACGGTCAAATTCCGAAAACATGTGTGTGTCTGTGGTTCATTCGTTGCAGTGAAGTTATGCAACATTTGGTTTTCATCGAAAGGCGTTGTGCCGAAAGCACATTTTTTTAAAAAACAAGTAAATTGTACATGCGGAAAATGAATGGTAACAGCTGTGGAAAATATGTAATTTTCTTGAATACACTTGCTTTATTGCCCCGTTTCTTGAACCACAGTTTTTTTTACTTTCTGCCTGTGCATTGGCAAGAATAACCGAACTGTTTATTCGCTAACGATTTATGCAAAATGCGACATGCAATCGATGAAAGTGAAAATCGTACAGTTTTAACCGATGTATTTGTTTTTTCACTTTTCAAATATTCGCTGCTCTTTTTTCGAACCGAAATTTTCGATGGTATTCAGAACATGTTGAATTGGTTCAGAATAAAATTTAATTCGCTGAACGAATGCGACATAAAAAACCCATGACGAGAAATATTTAAAATGTTCGGTCACTCAATGAATTCATACGCTGTGGTATGCATGTTTGCTTTTAAAAACATAATATAAACAAAAACGGTAGCGTACACAAAAGAAAATAAGCCAGCAAAAATCAATGAGATGGGAACAAAATGTGGCCTAATTTTCATTTCGGATTTTGCTATGTTCATCAATTATTAATCGTATCTCGGCCCCTATCCGTATCACAATATTTCGCTTGTTGTGTTTTTTATTCAGCACATTTTGTATATATTGTATCACAGTGCTAACGGTATTCACGTGACAAAGACGATGATGGAATTTGTTATCGCTCACTGGTTATAATGAGAAATATCACATTTTGAATGGTTTTGCTCTTTTTTATTTGGAGTGAATATAAAGAACTATAAAAATTTTGATGATTTGTTTTTTCAGTTTTCATAGAGTGAATGAATGTTATGTAAGTGACTGTAGTCATATGGAGAATATCGTTCGTAATTATTGAAAGAAACATTGAGCTAAACTTGAGCTAATATCATGACTTGAGCCATTATATGATGATAGACAATTGACGTCATTGAACCCATACAATTCAAGCAGCCATTCAATTGGGGAAAATTTCTAACAACCGCATAAGAATAGTAGTTGCCACGATGATTAATTTAATTGTTGACTAAAGTAATTTCCAATATGAATGACGCATCGCACTGATTTTATTTATAGTTATTAAAATGATAAAAGAATAAAATCTTATTTTCTCCATTTTGCCCCGTTCTATGCTTGAATATAGTACAATGTTAAACAGCGAAGTCAAAATTTATTCAAAAATAATTGAATTTGCATGAAAATTAGCATAGAGTTAAAATCACAACCGATGGTTACGTGAAAACATTTTTGTTTCCAGTGTGGAGATATTCGAAAATATTCTAATCGTTCAACACGTAGAAGGTCAAGGTTCAAGGATAGAAATATAGCGCATACGCATAATCATCGTGTCTTGACAGTGTAGAATCTTGAATCAAGGAGAGAGCAAAGAAGTTCGCGAGAAGAGAGTGAGAATAAACTGATGAAAATAAACACGAAAGCACATTGTAAGGGAAAAAAAATCGATAAATGCGTATCGAATCGCTGTACAGAATGATGTGAAACATTCTTATGCACCAAACATGTATGAACTGTTATTGCGTTCTCTCAACTTGGGTTTGATGTTGATAAACATCTTTTGCATTTATTTCTTAATTTGCTGTGTCGGACCGTCGTCTTGAATTTTGCCTCACCGTGAACGGATGTGTGCAGAGTGCAGACACGACAAACAGATAAATATATGTTTGTATGCACTTCCAAGACAAATTATGGTAAGATAACGTGATGCGACAACAATCGAGAGCGCTACTGCTGCTGCTGCTGCAAGGTACTGCAAGGTAGAAAACGACATCATCACATTTGGTGGGCAAATTTTCTATTTTTTTGTGCACACTAATAAACAAGTGAAATAGAATACACACAAAAATAATGCTGATTCTTGAATTGCTCAATTCCCTATGCTGATTTCTATTCGATTTCGCAGAAAATATTTGAATTGCAAATCAAACGATAATGATTTTTGATCGATGAAATGATTGATAAAAAAAAGCAAAAACTTACTTATTGAATGTGAGTTGATAATCTTTGATCTCTTTGCGCGAGAATTCATGGAATTCAGTGTAAATATTGCCCGGACGAAATGTTTGCTTAACTGTTTCACCATTTTCCAGTGCATCGTTGATTTGTTGACGTCGATTTAAAATCGAAGTCAATTCCGAATCGGCCGACATCTTTTTGCTGTTGCTTTTTCTCTTGACTTTTTCTTTCTTCGATTAAATAATTGCACGTGAATTACGGCCACGAAAATTTATGCGATACTCAATCGTTAAACTGTGTTTTTTTTTCTCTTTAAAAAGTGAAATGCAATGTTCGCATCAACAGCATGCACGAAATATGTTTATGATAAAAATAAATTGAGCGGCTATTATTTGAGCTGCTATTGATTTCGATGTGATGTTGTTACTTTTTTTCTTCTTCGGTGTTGTGCGCACAATTTCGCTTTTAAACTTATAAATCCGTTGCCAGTTTGAAACAATGAAAACAGAACTATACACTTCAACGTTTGAACGATAACTGCAACAACCTCAGCACCACACATGCGATACATCCAATCGGTTCATTTCGCCACTTTTCTCCTATCGTTTTACTTTCGACTGTCATACACACAGCCACATATAGATAACACTGTAATGCGCTTAACGTATATAAGAGGGGAGATGGCATGGAGAACTCTCTGTTTATCCAATGAACATTCATATTTGGAATACTTAAGACAAACGGAGAAATTCTGTACTTAACAGATATTATTGACACTTGTATTTGAATTCAAATTTTTATGTTTTCGAGCTGCTCATTTTATAGCTGTAATTGGAAGATCGAACATAATAGCGAGCAGGAATTGAATAGATTCACTACAAAGGAACAAGAATAAGTGTCAAAATGTCGTACAAAAAGATTGGCGAGGTAAATTATTATTGCATTCTTCTATTCGATTCATTTAGTTCTGTTTTTGCATCACAAAGCCAATATTTTTTGATATGTTTTGTGTTTTAGTTGTACTCGGAATTGGCCAAAATGGAAAGTCAGACGAGTTCCGCAACCAATGGCAAACATTTGCGCCGAAGTGAACGGGGCCTTAAAGCCAAAGCAATAAAACAACAAATTGATGATTTGAAACAGCAAATTAAATCGAATCTATCGGCATTTCCAACCAACTGTGATGTGCGTGTTAGAAAATTGACTGGACACACGTTGACAATCAAATGCTGTATTGCTAATTTTTCCTAGCTTTTTTCGTAAATGTGATTAATTTCGTAGAAAAATATGTTCGCAAAAGTCACTTTTTTCATTGTTAAATATAAATTTTATTGTATAGAAAATGAATTATCAAATGAATGAATATAGCATTGAATAATATACCATGGCCCAAAAATGCAAGTGGATATTTATTAAATGCTGCGTTAACTACTGATTCGATCAGAGGTTATGTCTCCAAAAATGGTGTCTTTTTATAGAAAATGCACTTAATCAAGTTTGGTGGCAGCGAATTTCTTAGCCAATTGCAAAACTTCATCAGCTTTATCATAATTTGGTCCAGATGCTTGTGCTGATTCTGCTTTGCCACCGCCCTTACCGCCCATAACAACTGCAACATGCGATACCCATTCGTTGGCCTTCAAACCTTTTTCAACGCCAGCTTTCGAAACTGCACTCAGGCAAAAGATTTTCTTTGTATCCAAATCGACTGACACAAATAGTGCTGATGTGTCTGGGCTCAATGTTTTCACTTGTTTTAAGGCAGCGTCAAGAGCCTTTGTATTGTTTGATGCGTCCAATTTATAAACGAGATACGGTGCATTTGGTGCAGCTGTAACAAGCTCCTTGGCCTTTTCAACAACCTGTACTGCAATAGCTGCTTTGGCTGCACGATCCTTGTCGTCCAACGTCTTTTTAATGCCATTCAAAGTCGTACGTAATTCATCTTTTTTCACGTATGGAATCGTTGCTTTTGACACATCTTCGCCAAGTTCAACAATTTTCTTGACATAGTCTTTGGAATCTTTGCCATCCTTGTCATTGGCAATGATCGACTTCAATTTGTTGATTTCATTCTCAAGATATTCAGTTTTCTTGAGTGCTTTGGCGGCCTCTGGGCCAGTCAGTGCGACTATACGGCGAACACCTTTCAAGTTAGTAAGAAAATTCAAAAAGATGAGTAAATTTGCATTACCATTCGAACTTTTTTCGATACATTTGGAGTCATATAAGTTAGAGATCTTACCTTTCGATATAGCTTCTTCTGTTGTGATTACAAAATCAAGAATATGACCCGATTGTTGCAAATGTGTTCCACCACAAAATTCCACTGAGGTCTGTTCACCTAAATAAAATAATATCGATTTGTTAAACTGTCGTTTTTGATAAGACATTAAATTTTTGTAATACCTGCTTCACCACCGGGATTGTTTTCAAGATCTTCAACTGGTGTTCCAAATGCAATCACTCGAACTGGATCGGGGTAAACTGGAAAATTTAAAAAAAAATCGACAAAATGAATTATTTAACCTTCAATGTCTTCTCAATGAATTATTAAACGATTTACATCGATACATACCTTCATCGAATACACTTCGTAGGCCACGAATCTTCTTTGCAACTGCCAATTTCGATTCTTTTGCATAGATTTTTACATTTTTCTTAACCACTTCTTGTGCTTTACTTTCAACAGCAGCAATTTGTTTGGTGGTCAATGCGCTCTTGTTGCTGAAATCGAATCGAAGCTTTTCGGGTACAACCAGTGAACCTTTTTGATCAGTGTCATTTCCAAGCACGTTAAGCAGACAATGATTTAGCAAATGTGTGGCCGAATGATTGTTCATGGTCAAACGACGACGTACCACATCAAATTGAAGATCTAATTTGTCACCGACTTTTAATTCACCTTCCACGATACCAATGTGCAAGATAAAACCGCCTTTATTGTACACACGATCAACAAGAAATTCATTTTCTTCATCGCCTTGTTTCACCATAACACCTTGATCGTAAATTTGGCCACCACTTTCAGCATAGAAATTGGTTTGATCCAATACAATACCACAATGTTCACCCGATGTCACTTTGTCAACGAATTTCTTTTCACTGTTTACAATAGCAAGCACAGTGCCGATGCATCCATCGAATTTATATTCACCTTCTTTCTCAGCGCCCGACGTATACTTGTATTTAATGGAATCATTCGTTGATGGTATGCCTTTCTGTTGCAATTCGGAAATTTGATGCACATCCAGTGTGATCACATCAGCTTGTTCGCCAGCTTTACCTTGCGATAAAATGTATGATTTTTCTTTGGCTGCCTCATAACCTGGCATGTTAACCGTTAGGCCTTTCTCTTCGGCCATCAGCGTTGTTAAATCGATTGGGAAACCGTATGTATCGTACAATCGCCAGGCTACATCGCCGGGTATTTCCTTTGAATTGCCCAACCTTTCAATGGTTCGATTCAATAGGTTGCGACCACGATTGAGTGTTTTCAAAAATTGTTGCTCTTCTTCGTTGATGATGTCGACAATGTGTTGTGGATCTTTTTTCACTTCGGGGAATGCATCGCCTAACAAATCGACAACAGTATAAACGAGACTGGCGAAAAATCCTGGTTTTGCATTTAGTTTTTCCGTTGCATATCGAACTGCTCGACGCAAAATCCGGCGCAATACATAACCCCGACCAGTGTTATCTGGATAACCACCGTCTGATAATGCAATCACAATGGTACGTGCATGATCAGCAACGACTCGATATGCCATATCAATTCCATCAACATCTTCGGCACCGACACGTCCTTGGTAGGCTGGAGCACCAGTTCCGGCTTGAATGGCCTCGAATATTGGCACAAACAAATCGGTGTCATAATTTGATCGCTTGTCTTGAATAACAGATACCAATCTTTCAAAGCCACAACCGCAATCGATGTGCTTCTTAGGCAGTCCTCTCAATGTACCATCCGATTCACGATTGTACTGAATAAATACCAAATTCCAAATTTCCAACACATCTGGATCGTCCATGTTGACTAATTCCGGCACGCTTCGTCCACCGATACGATCGTAATGCAATTCACTGCACGGTCCACATGGTCCTGTTTCGCCCATTTCCCAGAAGTTATCTTTCATGCTGCCGGGCAAAACGTGCTCCGGTTTTACACCCAAATCCAACCAAAATTGTTTGCATTCCAAGTCGGGTTGTAGGCCAGCCTTTTCATCACCACCGAAATAGGTGACGTACAAACGATCTTTGGGTAATCCTAAATCGACCGTCAAAAATTCCCATGCCCATCCGGTAACTTCCTTCTTGAAATAGTCGCCGAATGACCAATTTCCCAACATCTCGAAGAACGTATGGTGATACACATCTTTGCCAACATCGTCGAGATCGTTGTGTTTACCGCCGGCACGAATACATCTGCAATTTTTCAAGAGAAAATAAAATAATTTCAAATTTTTCCTTTCACGCCACAAGCCATAAAGACACCAAAAATATGCAAATTTACTCACTTTTGTGTATTCGTAACGCGAACCCATTTAGACATGTCACTATTTGGATCGACGGTTCCCAAGAAGATCGGCTTAAACTGATTCATGCCAGCATTGGCAAACAGCAAAGTTGGATCATCCAGCGGAATGGTTGACGATGAATGAACGTAAATGTGTTGACGTTGCTTGAAAAAATCAATGTATGCTGAACGCACCTCATTGCCAGTGAGCGATGTTTTCGTTGACATTTTTACTTTGCTACTGTACGGTTCTGAAACAAACAAAGACAAACATGAGAATCTAACCTCGAAATTCGAAACATTTAATTGACGAAAGCAAATCAATGCGACAAAAACTGTAAAATGTACACAAATTAAAAACGATTTGTATGCAAAACAGGTTCCAATTTCGATGGAATATGAGGTTTTTTTCACTCAAAATGTGCACGAACAATCACTTTTTATTACGGTCATAATATCACGTTGCGATTTGAAATTAACTCATGAAAAAACAACCTATTTCGCATTCTTTCGTCAACTATTTCTAGTTTCAAGAGAGACAAAACTAAATGAATTAATACTCACCGAAAATTGAATGAATAATATTTGATCGTTGTTGTGAAATAGCTTTAGCTTTACGCTGTTCTAGCACTCATTCACCGTTTTACACGTTCGGATGACTAAAGAGAACTATAATTTCCACACACGTCGCGCTGTCGAATAAATTTACACATACAAACTAGTTTCATACTTAAGACGTTTGACACTTGTGCAATGACATTTAGGTTTCGTTTCGCACGAAATTTGAAACGAAGTAATTTTATAAGAGTTTGTACGAAAGTGCATTTGGCGCGAAAATTGTTGCAAAATCATATTTGGGAAAAATTAGCCACTTTTTCAGAAAAAAAATGAATCTACATATGACGGCCTTAGAAGAAAACAATAACATACAGAACATGCTGCAAATAATACTAAAACAAATTTTATAAAGTAAAACCAGCCTATTTACATAAGAAACACATGTATTGCATTTGCCTTTTGCACTGTCTCTTTATATATATATGGTTTTTGCTCGCATAAAATTTGTATTAGTATTAATTGCAGCATGTTCTGTATGTTATTGTTTTCTTCTAAGGCCGTCATATGTTTTTTACATTTGAAAATAGAAAAGATTTGAATATCAAGGAAATTCTTCGAAAAAACACTTCGAATGCATATAAATGCACTGCTCTATAGAGCAGTCAAAACTATTTTAGTTTCCTTTTCAATGATGAGATAAGTTATCATGCTTGGAATCATTTGACGTTCCAATTTCATAGAAAATTCGTATAGTTTGTGTTTGCTGATAAAGAGGCAAAGTGTCAATAAACAAACCGAAGATGAAACATTTCAAATGTTAATTCATCGTGTCATCTTTGCATACATGTAACTTTTGTTATCATTGTATAACACTTCGAATGCGATTTATTGTATATAAAGTCAAACAAACTACACAAACACTCAGTTCAATTGAGTTAATTGAGTTATTTGATCAAGATTAGATTGAAAAGTGCACATTAGTCTTAGTTCTATTGATTATATCATCAAGAAAACTCCCTGTAACAAAAAAAAAACTCCCTGTAAGTAATTATTTTTTCTTTTCATCATTTTTTTGTTGTTTTCTTCAAATCGGTTATTTATAACTAGAATTTGGTTCGGGTAATTTAAGCAAAATTATTTGTGTTTTCCTTCAATTGAAATCCATCATCTGAATAATTCCTCAATGGTTTTATTTTTCAGGTAAAAATGTCGAAGCAAGCAATATATGTGAAGCCCGATATCAAAGAATATGAGCATTTGTCTGAGAAAGAGCGAATGATAGCCGGTTATCCATATCACCCAGGTGATGAAGTGCTTTGTAATGAGAGAACGAAGGCAAGAGAACTCATCAGAAAGTACAACGATAGTGTGGTTGGTGATAAGAAAGGGCGACGAGAAATTCTGGACGAACTTTTGAATCCAGCATGCCGTGGCAAGAAAGTATTTCTCGAGCCACCGTTCCGTGTTGACTACGGTTATAATCTGACACTCGGAAACAATTTTGAAGCCAATTTTGATTGTGTGTTTTTGGACTGTGCACCAATAACGATTGGTGAAAATTGTTTGATGGCGCCAGGTGTTCACATTTATGCAGCGACGCATCCACTTTCTCCAAAGTATCGTAAGAGCGGTAAAGAATACTATGAATTGGCGTATCCAGTGAAAATTGGAGACAACGTTTGGATTGGTGGCAAAGCAATCATTTGCCCTGGCGTCACAATTGGCGATAATTCAATAATTGGAGCAGGAGCTGTCGTTGTGAAAGATGTTCCATCAAATGTCGTTGTGGCTGGCAATCCGGCAAAAATTATTCGCACTATTGATATTGAAGAATAATATGTATATTATGAGAATTGTCCGAATGAACATTTTTATTTCATCAATGGAATAAAAATAAATTATTCAGTATTTTTGAAATTGCTAAAAGCATACCATTGTTTAACAAAAAATAAATTGTGAAAAACTAAATCTAAATTATCAAAAGAAATGTTTTTTTTTCATATTTTTATTGATAAAATAGACGAAAAAAAACTTTGTATCATACAACATTATACCAGCTTAACGAAAGTGTTTGACGTACTTAAAACTATCAGGCAAATTAATTCAAAATTCAACGATCGTATATTTTATGAAAGATTTCTTTTATTTCACAGGAAATGTGATTGATAAAAATGGCAAAAATCTTTTCGCTGCAATCAATTCAATTAAATTATTCAAGCCCATTTAAAATAAATGATAAAATCAACGTCTAAAGTATACGTAATGGCACTAATTTGACATAAGGTCTATAAGTATGCGCTAAAGTATGTTATTAATTATATATGGTTTTGACATAAACATGAGAACGCCGCTAAAACGTCAAAAGTAATAAACCATCAAGAGAACGCTGACCGTATACACACCGTGAAACAAAAAATTTAATTTTCGATACAAAAATCCGACGCAAATTGTGATTTGTCTCACATTTTTTTCAGTAACATTTGGTAAACGTTAAAATTCATCAAAAAAATGGGTGATTATCAGACGTCACGGCCGGGTACCGTAGACGGTAAAGTAAAAATGAAGCTAGCTGACCAGGTGGTTCGAAGTTTTCGTGTAGCCAAAGTGTTTCGTGAAAATACCGACAAAATAAATGCAATCGATTTTTCGGCGAATGGTGAACATCTGATTTCATGTAGCGAAGACGATCAAATTGTTATTTACGATTGTGACAAAGGCACCCAAACTCGTACCGTAAATTCAAAAAAATATGGCGTTGATCTTATTCATTTCACTCACAGTCAAAATACAGCAATTCACAGTTCAACAAAAGTTGACGATGCCATTCGTTATTTGTCATTGCATGACAATAAGTATTTGCGATATTTTCCTGGTCACACAAAAAAAGTGATTTCGTTGTGCATTTCACCCGTCGAAGACTCATTTTTGTCCGGTTCGATTGATAAGACGTTACGATTGTGGGATTTACGTTCGCCGAATTGTCAAGGTGTTATGCATTTATCGGGCCGGCCAATTGCTGCATACGATCCAGAAGGTTTGATTTTCGCCGCTGGTGTCAATTCAGAAAGCATCAAATTGTACGATTTGCGGTCATTTGATAAAGGGCCGTTTGTGACATTCAAATTGAATCAGGAACGCGAATGCGAATGGACCGGTTTGAAGTTTTCTAGAGACGGTAAAACCATTCTCATCAGCACCGATGGCCAGTTTATTCGGTTGGTCGATGCATTCCATGGCACTCCGTTGCAAACATTCACCGGTAAGTCGCATTTTTATCTTTATTTATCGTACAGAACATCACTATTATTAATATCACTATTTTGAATTCCAGGTCATTCAAACAATAAGAAGCTGCCGATTGAAGCGTCATACAGCCCTGATTCACAGTTCATTTTTGCAGGCAGCGTTGATGGTCGCGTACACGTTTGGAATGCGGATACTGGTTACAAAATTTGCGCGCTCAATGGTGATCATCCGGCTCCAGTACAATGTGTCCAATTCAATCCAAAGTACATGATGTTGGCAAGTGCCTGTACAAACATGGCATTTTGGTAAATACACTTTTTATGCTCGAACAATCTCTAGATGGACATTCATTGTCATCATCTAATTGTATACAATTGTTTTTAAAATGCAACAATTTAATCTCATTGCAGGTTGCCAAATCCAGAAGATCTATCGCAATAGGCTTAAAACGTTATCATCTCGTCTCGATTCAGTACGATATCATTAAAATTGAATAAAATCAATGACACCACCAAACATTTTGAAAGACTAAAAAAAGATATAAACAAACAAAAAAAAACGATTGTGAAAGAGTGTTTGAATACACAATTTATTGTTTTTTCTTATGATTAAAAGCCAATATATTCATTCTATAAAAATTCAACACAGTTTTTATTCTAATCGTCATCAAAGTCGACAACACTAGCTTGTTTATTATATTTATCGTAGACGCGCCGAACATTTGTTAGTAGGTGATTTAGATTTGTGCCCATTTTCGCGCTGATCGGTATAATTGGTATGTCTGGATACATCTTTTTTATGGACTCTAAATTGATTAGTGCTTCTGGAATATCGATTTTATTTCCGACCATAATTTGCGGCCGTTCTAACAATTCCTTGCTAAACATGCCGATTTCAAAGCGAAGTTGTTCAAAATGTTCCCATGGCTCTTCGCACGATAAATCGAGAATGAACAAAAGTGCCGAACACCGTTCCGCATGTTTTAAGAATTGAATGCCAAGACCTCTATTCAAATGTGATCCGGGAATCAAACCGGGCAAATCTGCAATCGAAACTTGTTCATAGTCGTCATAGTGAACGATTCCCAAATGTGGTTGTAACGTTGTGAATGCGTACGGTGCGACTTTTGGACGGGCACGTGTTATCGCTCGCAATAGCGTTGACTTTCCAGCATTCGGTAAACCAATCTAAAGAGAAAATCGTGAAATTTATGACATTTCATATGAAGTCAGTTCGGAAATAAGAGAGAAATTTTGATCTTGCAATATAGAAACTCAAAATGTTTAAACTTACAAGACCCAAGTGTGCCATGCTTTTTAATTCAAGAATATATGCCAAATCTTCACCATAAGCTCCATACTCGCAAACCTCCGGTGACTTTTCATTGTTCGAAGAGAAAAAATGATTTCCCTTGCCACCTGTGCACATCGAAACATGTCTTTAATCTTGATTGTAATGCAACGATTATTTTGTCATGATTGTAAAATGTCTCTTACCAGCACCACCTCTGGCAGCAATAAATAAAGAACCTTCTTTATCTAAATCGCCGACAATTTTTCCGTCTGAATTTCTAACTATAGTTCCCACCGGTACCTTGACAATTGAATGTTCTGCACTTTTTCCACTTCGATCCTTGTTCCGACCATCCTCTCCGTTGTTGGCTTTTATCAGAGTTTTTACATGCGTCAAGTTATTTATATCATTCGACGCCTCGAATACCACATGACCACCATTACCTGTTCATTCACAAAAACGTATTACTATTTGCATCAAAGTAACAAAGTAAAATGTATGCGTATTACCTGCATCGCCACCGTCACAGCCTGAAATAAATACACAGTTTTGATTAGCAGAAAATAAAATCAGGATGGATGATCAGAATTGTCATTAACTTACCAGCTTTGTCATTGGCCCATAATTGCAACAATGATATACAACCATCACCTCCCTTTCCGCCTACTGTTCGGACACTTTTCAAATCCATAAACGGATTCGACTGAGGAAAACACAAATATTAATTTTTGATAACATTTTCTCTAGAACTTACGGTAGTTTGACATACGGATAGGTCTTTTGCTTTGTGCTTCTTTCGTTTAAGCGCTTGTGGCGTATATTTTGAACCAAATGCATTGGTTTGTGTGGTTTGCGGGATGTTTGTATTCAGTAAATGAGCACAGACCCGAATATTCGGCTCAATTAGCGCGATGCGCCGGAATATTGTTAACATTTTTAAAATCGTTTTAAATATTCGTCCAAATTCAAGTTCATAACAAACGTAAAAGTGAGGTTAAGGTACTGTCAAATTGGCTTATTGTCAATATGAGTTGACCAATTGTGAAAAGTGTCAAATTCAAAATATTTTGACCGATATTGGAATTTTATTTATTAATTTTCCTTTTTTTCTCACATTTTCTTCTTGAATTATTTTAAAAATGAAACCATTTTTTGTGCGTATTGTCTATCAATACACAAACAAATTAAAAATATCAACTTGTATAAAAAATGATTTTAAAAAAGCAAATTTATGAAAATCGAAGGAAATTGAATGAAAAAAACCCAAATATTTTAATAAATTCAACATTTTGTGTTATTTTATGTAAATGTGATGTTTTATGTAATTCGCAAACGTGTTACAAAAAAATTGAATAAATTTCATTTATTAAAATGTTACAATGATTTGCTCAAACAATATTTTCAATAAATTGTTACTTTTCGAATGCAATATCTGGACTTTTCTAATACATCTGCATAACGATTACTATGTGATAAATGTATTAAATTCGAGCACGTCGTTTGGCTGTACCAGCGCATCCATCCGAGTTAGTCAAATGATGTTTCCATCCGCCGTTAGACGGCCCCTCGACTTCCTCATGACATAGCGGACACTTCATGTTATTGGTTTTCGGTTTAACACAATAGTCTTCCAATTTATGAATGTCCAATAGATTTTTGTGAACAGCTTCTGAGCATCTATCACATTGAACGTAACCAATCTTTGCGTCACACTCCTCTGTAAAGTAAAAAACGCAGGTAAAAAACAATTTAAAAAAAAGTGTTGATCTACCACCTGTTAAATGTGTGCAAAGGGCAGCTACTTCTAAGACCTGAGAGCATTGTGGGCATTTTGTGAGTAATGGACAGGCTTTCCAATAGTGCTTGTCCAATTGTTCGGTATCGCCGTTATACGGCCAATCACAAAATGGACATCGATTTTCGCATTCGGAATTTGATTTGGAGCTATTTTGTGTGTGCGGTTCGGGTTCATTACTATCTGAAGCGGATGCGGATTTATTGGTTGGGCTACAATTATAGGCAAGTGTTTTTCTTGGACTATTTACTGTCGTACTTTCCGCTGAATTTGTATTTGTGCCATTGTTGAATGCGAATTTTCGATTTTCGCTTTCGCTATTATCATTGTTCGATGCCGATAAATTGCTGCTAACATTTGGTGAATGTGGTGGTGTTGCATGCTGTCGAAGTATGCTCGATGATGTGAAACCTTGATGTGATGTCATTTCACGGCGACGGCCATCGTCAATCTTATCGAATTCGGCAAATAATTGACGATAAAGTAAATTTCTGCGCGTTATATCATCGTCGGGTGGTAATTGTTTTCGAACTAGACGTGGATTTAGTTTGTATACCAGTAATAGTACTCGTTCGGCCACTTTCCGAACTGGTTCCGATGGATGATGAATGCCCGAACAACCAGATTCGGATAGAATACGACAGGTGAGGCCACTTTGTTTATCACTGCTTATGCCTTGGCTCAACACCAACTGCTCTAGCATTTGCATGCGACTTAAAGCAAGACGTGGGTGAGTTCCAGAACCAACAGGTCTTGATAGGGATGGTGCAACTAAATGCTGCATTCTGGCGATAGATGAAAAATTGATTTCAAATAACTTTTTAGGGTTTATAATCAAAATTCTTTACTAACCGAACTTCCGGGCAAGCAGCTATGGACAGGATGGTGTGTTGTGCTAGAGTATGTATTCTTGGTGATGGATCACCACTTTTTGCTAATAGCTCAGGCAATAGACGATCAACACAACGTGACACTTCGTTTTGGGTTACACGATTCGGAACGAAATCTATGAATAATGCACGCACTGTTTCAGCTGCATGATTAAATACAGAAAATACTGCATCACGAACGGCACGATGAAGTATCAGTGTAGCACTGCGCGCTATTTTATTCACACCGATGGAATAGTCAAAGGCTTCACCCTTCAGGATGGCGGTTAATCGAAGTAAACCCTCTTCGCGATCTTGAAACTGACGTGAATAGAATAGTTCGACCTATTTTGGGATGAGAGCAGGAGATTTTTTTTTAGTTTCATTAGAAGAAAAGAAGCAAAAAGTCATATCTCGGTGGACTTGAGAATTTTGTTAATTGTTGTTGCTCTCGTAGAGCACGTTCTTACCATCTCATTGCCAAAAACCAAAATGGGTAACGCTGCCTGTCTTCGTTCTCGTTCATTCAAACGTGATCGCCCTCGGCATGGATCGTTTTCTAAAACAATTGCCCCTTGACACTCCCTTAAAAATTCATTAGTATGTGAACTGCAAGTGTAAACACACACAACATCGAACAATCAACGATTACACATTTAATCTAAAACATGCTCTTTCTTCGATAAATCATTTCAAAATTCTACTTTCTATAGCTTACTATGAATTAAAAAAAAATCAACAATTTCTCTAAGAAAGCAATTTTTCTATGTAAACAAGCAAGACTCGACGCAAAAAAAAATGAATGACTCACTGTCTCAATGCTGGAATGGCTCGTTCTTCATAGTCTTCATAAGTGGTCCTTGGTGCGCTTTTATTACGTCGTCGTAACGATCCCGTATTCGGAGATCCTCTCTTTGGACTTGCTCCAATTATTGGCGATTGTCTATGTTCATTCAGTGTATTTGGTGATTTAACATCGGAATTTTCGCGTCGAACCATTTGAGGACTGGTAAATGGTATAGCTGTGAACATTGTATCATTCGACAATGCACTGGCAACATCCTGTAGACTTGGTGGCGATGGTAACGGTGGCTTTTGCGTATACAAATCCGATACACAGTCGTTATCGGGATTTAAACCACCTGTTTCAAGTAAATAGTTCACTTGAAGCTGTTCAAACACCATTTTCTTATACAGTTCCATTTGTTCTTTGCGCAGTTTAGCGGCTATAAAATCCTCTTGTTGCACAGCTTGACGTTTGGCAAGAGAATAGCGACCCAAGCGTTCGCCAGCATTTCGTAAGGCACCCATACACAATTTAAGCTTGCGTGCGTACTCGAATCGCTCATCTACTTAAAAAAAATCGATGATAAATTGGCAACTCAACAGCGACAAACAAAATACCAATACATACCATTAACTGCTTTAATTTTTTTCTGTTCAAGTTCACGGATCGTCTCGACTATTGACTCTTCCACGTACATTGAAAACGATAAATCGTCGCAAATTGATGCGAGCGCAGTTTCCGTACGCTCATTGTTCATATTTTGAATGAATTGCATCGCATTCTCGGTCGATAGATATTCACCGAGCACATTGATTGCTATTAAAGCTACCTGAAGAATATTATTTTCGATAAGTAACCATTGCTTTTCAACGACCAAGATAAAATTACCTGATTTGATTTATTCAGTTCATTTGGATAAGGCGATCCGAATCGAAGTTTTAAATGTGTCCCCTTTTTTGGACCGACAGGCACACTTTGCAGTTCACGTGACTTAAAATTCGTTCCCGAATTGTCGGAGAGCGCAATGAAACCAAGAAAATCGTACGTTTGACTTGACGGAGTGGTTGGTGCACCGCGTGTAGATTGATGGATCCACAATTCTATTCGTTCTGGGATAATACATTGATGGGCCAACACTTGGATGCGACATATTACCGCTGGTTTTTCGAAACGTAAGATTATTTCTTTGGGTGACAGTGTACTGTTTGCTCGACAACGCCAACCACAAACTGCCGGACCATGGCTGTTCAATTCACTAGACGGATAATCTGGTTCCTCGTCTGAACGAAAGAAAATGGAAACAAAAGAAAAGAAAAACCAATTTCATTTAGTGCACATTGACCAAGCATGCTAATCAAGAGATTTTCACATGAACCATGTTAAAGCGCATTTCAAATTGTCACACCAGTAACTGGTATGCGGTTGTACATTTATTATTCATAATTGACATATTAATAATTGATTGGCGACACGAAATTTATGTACATTGTACACCACATGCAATTCTACAGCCCTTTCTACTCTCTCTCTCCTGCCAAAGCGTTGATAATTTCGGTAAAGTGGGCTTGCCAATGTAATTGTGAGCATTACATATTGCAACGCGACACCAATGACCTGCGTCTCATTTTTCCAACAAACATTGTTATTTATTTTTTTCTTGGATAAGTCATCATACGACTTCAAATAATTAAAATGATGGATGAAATATTGAACAAACAAAAGAGCAAATGTTTGCTAATGCTAAAAATAACCCCTCGTGGTATAAAGTTACTAGAAACAATAACACAATTATCGAAATAAGTACCTGTGGCAAAAATGACACTGAATGATATACGTTTAGCCATCTAATACGTCGTATTTAACATCAAAATCGAAAATATTTTTTTCAATTATACAAATTGGATCGAATATTTTGTTGTTGTTTTCTGAATCGTCACGAAAATTTAATTCGGCTCCCCCAACTACGCAAATTTGTTTATTATATTCACATATAGAGTAATTGTCGAATAAGCCAATTTTCAAAAACAATTTTCAATGATTTCAAATGCAAAAGAATCACTACTTTTCTTAATCGATGTTTCTCTATCAATTCTCAACATTTCGGGAATTGAAAAAAAAAATCGAGAAAAATTACTGTGTTAAAAAGAATACGATGTGCATCGTAATTCAGTTCCAACCCCAAATCGATTTCGTTACTGCACACGTCCCCTGTGAGATTCAGTCGATGAGTGAAAATGAAATTTCTGTACATATTGGATACACTGGATAATGGAGTTTGCGCGTACCATTGGAGTAGGTGTGTGTATAAACAACATTCAATTCATTTGGTTTTTTTTCGATCTTGATTAATTTAATGACCAATACGAGAATGAAAGTATTTGGAAAAATGATAATAAATTCAAATGATAAATAGTTTTATTAATTACGTACCACATATCCGACACAGCTGATGGTTTAACTGGAATAGCGCAATTGCTTTGAAATATGTGACGATGAATTGTACAGTACGTTTTGACACATCTACTACTTCATTGTGGTCTTTGTTTGTGTCGCTGCAACAGACTGGTTACAACAACAACCACTAAACTATTATTATTGACAGACACAGTCACTTTATTTTCGGTCGGTGTTTTGTATTTTTTCTTTTTGTTGTCGACACCATGGCAGATAAATATTCCATTTTATTGCCAACATACAATGAACGAGAGAATCTACCGATTATTATCTGGTTGATTGTGAAATACATGGATCAAAGGTATGAAATATTCAATATTCTATGGTGCCACGTAACAATGGTCGGTGTGTGTTTTTTTTTTCTTTTGTTTAAACAGCAAATTCAATTATGAAATAATTGTGATTGATGATGGTAGTCCAGACGGGACACTTGATGTGGCCAAACAATTGCAAGACATCTATGGCGATGATAAGATTTTGTTGCGACCAAGAGAAGCCAAACTCGGTCTTGGAACGGCTTACATACACGGCATTAAACATGCAACCGGGAACTTTATCATTATTATGGACGCTGATTTGAGCCATCATGTGAGTATACTATTTTCTGTGATTCCTTTGCCATTGTTCGTAACTTAATTCTGTTTCAATTTCAGCCGAAATTCATTCCAGAATTCATAAAACTGCAGAAAGACAATGACTACGATATCGTTTCGGGTACGCGATACATGGGCAATGGTGGTGTTTTCGGTTGGGACTTCAAGCGAAAGCTTGTTTCTCGTGGTGCAAACTTGTTGTCACAAATACTATTACGACCGAATTGCTCCGATTTGACTGGATCATTCCGTTTGTACAAGAAAGAGCAGTTGGAAAACTTGATAGCAAAATGCGTCTCGAAAGGTTACGTTTTTCAGATGGAAATGTTGATTCGAGCCCGTGAATTGAATTATAGCATTGGTGAAGTGCCTATTACATTTGTGGATCGTGTGTATGGCCAATCGAAACTTGGCGGCACCGAAATCATTCAATTTGCCAAAAATTTGTTATACCTTTTTGCTACCACATAATAAAATTGACACATTCCTGTTTTCACTAGATAGATTTTTATTTTATTATTTTATTGGTTGCAAAAATCAAACATTTTCAGACATTTAAATTGATGGATGTTAATGATGACCGTCTTTTGGTTGAGATTTGCCGTATTGTTTTTCCCACCAGATTACGTACTCCTTTTTGCGTTGTTCACGTCGAGCAAAATAGTCTGGATATTGTGCTTTTTCTAATGGATGCCAATAATCTAAGACCCAATCGGGCAAATCTACTTCACGACCGTATGCTATGCCACCGGGACTGTTTGCGACTATAAAACGATAAATTTCGAATGTGGATTATTTTTTTATTGTTCATTTTGTTTTAGAATGTTTTTCGTTTGAGTCAATGACAACGATACTTACACGTAAATGGTTGAGGATGTTGTTTTTCAAATAACTCCTGTTCGCCCGATTTCAACAATTCACGAGCAATTCGTAAATCTTTAATTTCTTTATTTTGATCGAATCGTTCACGCAGCAGAATGGCATTGAAGCGAAACACATGTCTAATTAAAAGCAAGAAAAAAAGTTCCAATTTTTTTTTTCGTGTCAGTACAAATCGTGGCTTACATAATCGATTGTTTAGTATTGAGAAATACATACCGTGGCGTATACCAGCTTTGAGCCAAGCGAACGGTTTTTTTGTACAATCGGCAAACGCGTTGAGAGTGTGTTATAATCCCAGTTGGAACATGAGCCATCGTCAAATCGTTTGGATTGACCAAATTTCCCAAGCAAAATGCAGATTCAATTTGTTTATTGGTTCGTAGATGGAATTTTTTTTCGACAATCACTCTGCTGATTGTGTTGACTTTGACAGATTGTAAAAGCTGTCAAATGTTTGACACACCGAAAATGGATGCAGTTAGTGGTACAGTCTCGTAACACACGTGTGAATAGCTGTCACACACTGTTGCCGCAAAGTAAATTCACTTTTTTTCGGACACAAAAAAAGTTTGTTGTAAACAAAATCACATTGTGCTGAAATTGTGGTGAAAAAACGATTAACATGACAAATAATAACATAAAATTGGGTGATTTTGTCATCATTCAACGGCAAAAGTATACGAAACTATTTAAATTCAATAGTTTAACAGCTCAAACCGCTTTGGGGAAAGATCAAGTACAGTTGAAAAATATCAATGAGCATCCTTATTCAACGACATTCAAAATGAATCCGATTCAAATGCATGGAAAGCGTGTCATTGAATTGGAACCATGCTCAGATGTTAGCAGTATTAAAGAGTCGGTTAATGTTACCGAATGTGGCACGGACAATCGAAATCTGAATATGGACACGGAAACACAAACACTCAAAGCCGATGATATTTTAAAGTTGCGCCAAAGTGGCTCCAGCGCTGGCGAAATAGTAAATATTATCGTAGAAAATTCCAAAACATTCACCTCCAAAACGGAATATTCACAGGATAAATACCTACGCAAAAAGGAAAAGAAATATTTCGAGTTAGTTCAATTTGTTTTCTTTCAATTTTATAGCATCATTTAAATTTTTCCGTGCATATTTTCAATTTTCAGATTTCTCCAAATTCGTCGTCCGACATTAAGACTGATTGCAGAGATTATGTATCGTCTGGACCCAGAAAAAATTCTCGGTCTTCGTATGGACTCGTTGTCACAGTTGATATCCTATGCGAACGTATCGGCGATGGGAAATTTTCTACTATATGAGTCCGGCACGAATGGTTTGGTACCAGCAGCCCTAATAAATTCAATAGGGGCAAATACCGAGGGCAAATTGTTGCATTTGCATCAGGGAAATGTGCCACAGAAACAAGCATTGCAAGCATTGAATTTGGAACAAGAACAATTGAATCGATGTATTTCGGCGAATATCTATTCGATATTAAGACAATTTTATCAAAAGAGCGGCGGCCTAAAGCGAACACTTGATGAAGTCGTCAATGATTCAGCGGAACCACCAGCGAAAGTAGCTAAAACTGACGAAACTGAAAATTTGAGAGAAATCACGGACACAGACATGGAAATCGCCACAGAACCAAGTGAACATGATGATTCAGCAAAAAATGGCGACAAAGAAGCGAAAACACCCAAATGGTTTTATGAAAATGAACGTGGCTGCGAATTGCTGCGCGAAAATTTGGATGCTTTGATTATTGTGGCCAAAGAACATCCGATCGCTATTGTAAATGCATTATTACCATTTGTAAAATCCAGTCGTCCAGTCGTGATTTTTAGTTTATCACGAGATTTACTTGTTGAGACGTTTATCAGTTTAAAAAGTAGCAGCCAAGTAACCGGCCTTAAACTTACATCAAATTGGCTTCGTAACTATCAAATACTTCCAAATCGCACCCATCCAGATGTCAATATGAACGGGCACAGTGGTTTCATCTTACACGGTCACACCGTTCGATAGAATGAAATACTGATTATGATATTTATATGAATTCAGTTCATTTTATTACTCATGTTTTCTTTTCTGAAAATATATTTACACATTTTTTTTCTTCTTGAATATATTTCGAATTGTTTTATTTCTTCGATTTCTTTTTCTTCTGTATACGCTATCGTTTTTTGATTTGATTTTTTTTTACACAGGAAATTTAAATCAGTTTATCTACTCAATATTTAACCAATATTTGCGCTTAATTCTTTTAGAACTTTGTTTAATGACGTTTCTGTGTGTACTCTCTGTATGAATGTGATATAAAAATAATATAGTATATGAAATACTCGGCCAAAAGGAAGCAATAAATCTTAGGGGGACTGGAAGAGTTTTGCTAATCTGTTGCCGAAATATATATTGGTGACTTAAAATGGCATCATTTTCCAACAAAAAAAAAGAAACTAAATACATGAAAAATGGCCGAAGATTTACAAATTTTTTTTGTGTTCATTCCTTAAAAAATTGTAATAACGAATCTCTGTTTGGATTTTGACGATTCTAAAAATTTGCTTAGTTTTAAATTCGCGATAGAATAAATATAATATAACAATGAAACTTATTGCTAACATTTAACAACCCATTTTTAGTTTGAATCGTCGCGCACTGTCCAAACTTCCAATTCCAAAGGTTACAGTTAAAAATCGGCGATTATAAATCGGGATGAGGTGTAGAATAGGATTAGAATAACCGAATCATACGGTGAGTTGTAATTTGATCGATTTCGAATCGAATGCGAACGTCATGAAAATTAAGGTATATGGCATTTGGTAATGAATTTGTATTCAGATGATATTGATAATCACATGTGGTGTACGATGGTTGATGAAGCTAGCTCTGGCATAGCTATGATATCTCTGTGCTTTGACTCGATGGGAAGTTCATTAAATTATTGAACGCCTCCGGATGCAGTGATGTGACACTGGTTATTGTTGGCAGAAATTCTTTCTCCAAATCAACAACATCGTGTTCATCGATTAGTATTTCGTCTACGTTGTTGTATGCAGCACCGCCATCATCGGATATGTATTCAATTGAATCATTCACCAAGTCGATGTGGTCCTTGACTACTGGTGGTGGATCTTGTGGTTTCTTACACGATGATGAGGATGTTGTTGGCACTTTTTTGCTGCTGGAAACGGTTTTTGGTACATTTTTGACGGGTGACTTTTCTTTTTCATCTTCTTTTGCTTCACTATCACCGTGATGCATTGAAAATCTGAAATTGAAAAGAAAAATGAATAGAATAGAATGCAACAACTGTGTTCTTTTGTGATTCTCCCCTTAGGTACATACCTTTCGATTACTTCTTTCATTCGTTTGGTGTAATGTCGCTGGTTTTCTTCCAGTTTTGATTTTAACGATGTGTCTTCTACAGCCGGATCTGATTCATTCGCTGTGAAATATTGCACCATTTCATATAAATCGGCCTTTCGACGTTTCTGCAACAGAGTTCCCACTTTATGGAACGCCAGTTGTGCTACACAAACAAAAAAAGCACAATTAAATAAAATAAAAAAGAATAAATATTTTTTGGTAAAAGAGAAAGAAACCGTTTTTACTCTATAACTCACCGATTTGTTTGCGATCTTCTGTACTTAATCGATAATCATATAATTTACTACAATGGTCCATAATTCGTAACACATCAAACATGTCGGGAAATAATTTTGTTTCATTGATAAATTTCTCCAATTTCCGATTAAATTCGGGATACGCCGTATCATTAAATTTGATTGGTTTCTTCACAATACGTTCGGCCGATCTCGATTCGCCGGTAAGATCACATAGTTTTTCATAAATGTCACAAGCTCGTTTCTTATAACGTTCCGTCATCAAGTACTTTGAATTCAATTCATCATCCCAATCGACTTCGCTCTCTTCACACTTTCGAATTTTTCCTTGTAGAACTCGCAGTGCATCGCTTAGTGTTTGTATTTTCTTCGCTTTTTTCTCATCCATTTCCTTCACTGCTGGATCATCAATTAATTGTTCAGCACTTTCACCGTTGGACCGTCGTGTTCGCAATTCATCCAATACACCCTTAATTTTCATGTACACCAATTTCGGTTCTGCCTTAATTTCATTTGTTACATTTATTACAATTTTGTTAAAACTTTTCGAATTAACATATTCCGTGTGGGCACGATGATAGTATTTCTCCAGTTTGGTCACAATTTTGTCCATGTCTTTCGTTGAATCGGCATTTTTGCACGCTTCAATCAAATGCACATAGTCTGGGTGAAATGTTTTTGTTTCGTTGGCGGCAATTTTCGGTCGTTTCATTGGTGGTTCGCCTTGTTCATCGGTACGTTTACTCTTTCCATTTAGCATACTATGCGGTACACTATCCGCTGATAAACTGTCACGACTTTGCATATCTGAATCACTGCTCTTTTCCATGCTACTCGTTCGCATTGTAACGGTATCGGATATTTTGCGCGGTGTGACTCGTTTGGTGGGCTTTTTAGCAATGGCTACATTCACCGAACCAATCGGTTTAACATGAACTGTTGCCGGTGGTGTAATTGGTTTCGATACATTTTTTACCGTTTCAGTTCTTGGTTTAATTGTAGTCGAACCCACATTAGACACAATTGAATTGTTCGGACTCTTGGTAACCGATACATCTTTATTTTTAACTGGTGTTATTGTAATACCTGACTTTATGCTGCTGATGACGAACTGTGGTTGTTCTTTGTTTGATTGCTTATGCGGCAGTATCTTCTGTGGTTTAAATGTTTGTGTTAATAGTAGCTGTTTTTTATTGTTGTTGTTCGGCGGATGTAGCACACTCGGCGATGTGACTTTTTGTGTTTGTGTTTGTATTTTGTTCACATTTTGCGGTAAATTCAACGTCTTCACCCTTTTCACTGTGATATTTTTGTTTGACTTGATTTTGTTCTTTGTTTTCCCATCGTTATCCTAAAAATATGTTCGAAAAGAAATCGAAAGAATAAAGTCGCAAACAAATTCATTAGAAATCAATTCAATAAAAATATTTGATTTGATGGAAAAATTGGCGGCCAAAATAAACAGGCAGTACAAATATAAACATAGCGGTGTTTTGACAATTTCACCACAAATGTCACACCTTCGAAACAAATTACAAATCTTTCAAAATTATATAACTTATAAAAAGCACGACAAAATGATTCAATCGACTGCTATTTTGAATCGTGAATAAAAAGACGAAGAAAAAAAACTTTTTATTCTAAATAAATAAACAATGCGATAAGCCGTTTTAAGTGTGGTTAAAATATCAATATTTATCATTTGGTCGTAGTACAGCTGCTGTACACAACTGCATAGATTAGAAATGGAGGCAATCCGAAAAATGTACACACATCATATTTATGGCGCAATTGTTGCAAAAGTCATAGTAAACATTGGTGATTACGTGTATTTTAGTTGAAAATGATATAAAATTCAATCGAAAAAAAAATTGTTTTATAAAAACAAACCTCTTCGTCCGACGAAACTAAATTGATCACATTTGTGTCCATTTTCGCCATAAATTGCCCAATGAATCCGAATGGCGAATCCGAAATTCAAGTACAAAATGTAGACACATTCAAACCAAAAACGATAAAAACACGCGATTTTTTTATTGTTGAAAGTTTTGTTTCGAATTCTCAATATGATCAAGCCGATTTTCAATAATATTACGACTTATTTTTCAGAAAATAAAAACGTTTTGGCTGTTTATTTTTCTAGTTTAAATGGCGGACACAGTCACAACTACAAATGAAATAGCTCGCAATAAAGACATCTTTTTTTGTATGGTTAATTGCTCAAATAGCAAATCAAAATATATATATGTAAGAAACGTGAATGGTTTTTTGTGCTCGACTGGTTACACTCTCTTTGACTCTCATCAAACAATGTTCTTTTTGGTTCGGATCTGTGTGCAATAAAATAAAGCGTAAATCTAGTACCACAAGTGGCATGAGAATTTCTGTTGAATATCTATGTATTTTTTTCGCCTTTGTCCATTTGACATTGTATGCGTTATGATGTGTATCATTCACGTATACACATGGTAATTGCATTCATATGTGAGCGTAGAGCGCAAAACAATTTCACAACTACTTCGAAAAATGTGTTTTTTCGAATTTACTGTGACATTTTTATGAGTAATTTATTATGAACATATTCGAAATGAATGCGTCCCATTCTCACAGCAATCAATTTGATTGAAGACAGTTTCATTTGGACACTTTTTTATCGCAGTTTTTATTGCAGTTTTTTATTGCGTTTTTTTTATTGCAGTTTTTATTGCAACAAATCGTCGATTTTTTCGTCCTTTCTTTTGAATTAACCAGTATTTTATACAAACCAAACACATTTATACGAATTCACAAGAAAGAATTGAAGAAAATGCTGAAAAGAAACTTCAACTGAAAAAGAAAATTCATTCAAATCGTTTCAATTTTCAAATAAAAAGTCGGTCCTTTTCAAATTTCAAAATTTCTTTGTTTTTTTTTTCAATTAATTTTTATTTTTCCAATCATTTTTACTTAGAAGTGAATGTTTGCATGAATAAAAATTAATTTAATAGTTCCTGAAATGAAACGAAGAAGAAGAAAATACAAATTAGTTTATTTTGATCGAAAACTCGGAATTCAAGCGGTATTTGTAAACGTTTCTCTTTTCGAATAAGTTGAATATTGTTGACTTACTTGGAAAGAAGACCATCGCGTTTGGCCAAACGGGCAATGCAGTCGTCTGATTCGCCCATACCACGGATGGCACCGCAGATGGCATAAACTTTTGATGTGCCTGTCATGATGCCAGTGTTTGGATCAACTTCAGCAACATTAAGTTGAACTGAAGCATGGTCCTTGGCGTGGATGATACGGTTGCTGGCCGAGCTGCAAAAAAAACAAACGAAAAAAAAATCCATTAAAAATTGACTACACAAAGAATGGAAAAACATTGAGGTTATGTGCACAAAAAATGCAATATATTCCAGAATATTCTGCGATATTCTACTATTTGAAATCATGATCAGCACATTTTCGGATCGGAAGATCGAATCACAAGCAAAAGTTCTTTTCAATCGGGAAGTTTTTTTTTTAAATCGACACAATCACTACACATTTAATAGATCCATTGCTTTGAGTTGCACGTGGAATCACAATGCGACCTACCATTTTCGTGGGCAGTACAAGTCAACGAATTCTCCAGAGTCGTTTTCCATTTTTGTTGATCTGCAATAGAAATGCCATTTATTTATTATTTACATTGTTCAAAATATTGGAAAAATCGCAAAAATCGGCAATTTTTCTTACTTTTTTTTATAGAGCTTGTGATCAAAGCGACACTACCGTGATGGCGATTTCAAAAGAAAGAAAGTTGATAGCATGAATGACAGCAAGTACTGCCACCTGTCAAAATCGAACGGATTCAAGCTGTTTTGAACGTTTTTCAAGTTGGCTGCCATCGGTGTCAGTTGTTGTTATGCATGAAAACAAATCATTATTCTTTTTGGATTCTGAGATGGAAATCATTTTAAATGATTCAAAAATTTAAATTCAATTTAATTTTCGAAAATTAAGAAAATTTATGAAACGAAAAAAATTTGATGTATTTTTTGTACATTGAACTTGACAATCAAATGCGTGTGAATAGTGTACGTGTATGTCAGTGTGTCAAATGTTGAATCAAAACAAATAAAAGAGCTTAATGAAATCGTAAACTGAATGAAGACATTGTCGCTTTTGCACAAGAGCAAAGCACTACGCTCTGCAATCTCTTTTAACTCGTACAAAAACCTAAATGAAAAATAGAATAAAAAAATAACCAACGATAGAGAGGAGAGAGAAAATAAGTAAATAAATTGAAATAATTCAAAAATAAAAAAAGGTGCTCATTAGAATAAGTATTTATTGCTCCGTTATTATATAATGAAAGTAGTTCGATAGAACCTGAATTGTTCTATGTTTGGTATTATCGATGGTGTTCTGTAAGCAGTGATATTGTTTTCTATGTGCCTCAGTTCCATTTGTCGAATGAATAATTCATTATAATGCGGAATTGGACAAGTGATTTTTTGTTTTAGTGCATTGTATCGATGAAAATGGAAACAAGAAGCACAACTGCATTCCATCACATAGAATCTGAGTGCATAAGTGGCAGTGCTGCTTGAGCATTAAGCTATACGTGATATGCGAATGAGTGAGAGAAAGAGAGCGCGAAAATAGAAGTGCAAATGTAACGGATTTTAAAAGAAAATTGCTCAAATTATCGCAATTACAAGAATCTCATCTTGAGTTGTATACACACACAAAACAGGGAAGGTAAGGAATGAGTCGTTTTCGGGTCGGATTGAGTGCAGTTGATGTGCATCGTGTGGTTGTTCAGGTAAGCCAACGAAGATACGCCAAAGCAAAACAAACATTTTTTTTCAATTAAAACTGAGCAAGTGTGCGGAGTGTGTATGATTGTTATCGCGGCATTTAATCATATGATTCGTATGTTCGTTGAATGGAGCCAGAATACAAAACCGCTATTTGTTTGCCAACACACAACGTCAATGATCACAAACCGCCTTCGCTTGCTTTTATTTGCTCTTCATCATCACACCAGTATAATTCGTTAGTCAATGCGTTGATGATCGTTAAAATCGATGTGCCGAGTTCAGTTGATAGCGTATTGTTGGCGCGCAAACACATACATCTCGATTTAATTTCTTCAAAATTTTTTGTACAATCGGCAAACGTACGCAAATAAAATCGAACAACTTAGACGAGGCGAGAATAACATTGATTTCGTTCATTTATATCGACGGCACGGTAAAATATCAAACGGTCATTACTAAATTGCATAACATAGATTTGTGTGTGTTGGTCTATTTAAAAACCCATGCATATTAAGCGGATCGAGTGACACTGAATTCAAGTTTTTTTTTCTAAAGCATTTCCCATTAATAATCGTGGGTGAATTGAAACAATCTAATCTGCATATTGTCGTTAATATATACAATCTATTTTGTTCGGTTCAGTTTCAGTGATGTGCCTTTGTTTTTTTTTTCATTCTCTCCAAACAAGACCAATTTCGCACAAATTGGCATTTAATAATTTATTTATTTGAAAAATGTTAGCCGCTTGTATTATCGTACAATACGGTTGCTTTCGGTGGCATGTAAAATTCATGACGCAATCGATCCGGTGAAAGAAAAACAGTTTTAAAAATAGCTCATAAAGAAGCGCAATTTTTCGTGCGAGACTTGCGCTGCAAAAAAAAAAACTTTTTTGTTTACTATTGAGTATTGAGAGAGCGCGCGGTAACAATATATTCCGTTTAATATTTTCCATCACATTTTGCATATTTACATTTTAATTGGAACAAAAAAAAAACGACTTGTAATCGCAGGACGAATTGCACTCTCATTAGTACTTCGATTTTTCTTTTATTTTTCATAAAATCGATGAATTGATGTGGCATTTTTATCGTGAATACATTTGAAACATTTTTTTGATTTGGTTATTTCATTTGGAATATTTTTGCGTGTCATTGTAGTTAGTCGTTGAGTTCAAGATTCTGGCGGTTTCTTCATTTTGACGGATCATTGTAAACGGGACGTTCTAAGAAAAAATCTCAAATGTCATTGAAGGTGAGTTTAAATTTGATGCCTAAGAATAAGTGAGTCGTAGAAAATCTTGCATCTGAAACGAGATACCATGCATCTGTGCACAGATGAGATTATAACACTGCCCCAAATTCTGCCTTCAATTCAAATACAAAGTACAGCAAATTTAGACCGAAAATTGAATGAAAAAAAAGAGTGAATCGTGTTTTAGGTTTCTGGATTTTTCAAATTAAAGCCGAGACGAGTTTTTATTATGATTTTTCCGGTCCACATTCCGCCAATGCTCAAATTGGATGCTGCAATTCGAGTACGACGCTTTTATGGCCTGCATTTCATTGTTTGCTCATATAAAAACAACAAACAGTGCTAGATTATAGATAAAAGACCCATTTTAAGTACATTTTCAAAGAAAAGTGTGCTTTGTTATCTGTTCTTTGATGGCATACGCATCTTACATATGTTTACATTCGCTTTAAATACTAATACCGGCTATGTTTACATTTTCTTTACAGTTTTTTTTTTGCTGAAAAGTTCAATTAACGATTCTTTTTTGTTTTCTATTTGCAAACGCTTAGTTCGGGTTTATTCACAAAAATAAACACACTTCATGTGCATAGTACATTATTAAACGGTGTGTCGGTTCGCTCAACATAATGTTTCTTCATTGATATGCAGACGCCTGGTACGAGGCAGTTATGATAATAATTAGAGTAAAAAAGTCAAGTTGAAAAACTTGTTATTGTAAAGATTCCCATATAAATGGTTATCTAATTGTGTTTTTCTACAAACATTAACCTTTCCTTTTAAGTCTGGCGAATTGGCGTGCAAGCGCTCGCCCAAGTCACAATGCAATGTGTTTAACATGCAACATATAAGCACGTAAATGTAAAAGAGAAATGAATTTAATTAATAAAAATAGTTTCAACTTTCATCGGCTTTTACAATCAAAACACATTCAATGTGCTTCATTCACTCACTTTCAGCGCCAATTATGCGTTGATACCAATTGGATCAAACTAATAAAAATAATGATTTTTATTAGAAATGAATCGTTGCGGCGAAAGAGTAGCTCTTATTTTTCTCCAAATAATACTGCAACATAAAGTTTTTTATGAATAGTTTATTTGTTGTATTACAACAAATAAACCGTGTGAAAAAAACTTCATGTTGCAGTATTATTTGGAGAAAAATAAGAGCTACTGTTTCGCCGCAACGATTCAAATCTAACGTCGAATTAATTTATGGTCTTCAACTACTATTTCACTTGTATGTATGAAAAAAAACCGATTTACAGTAGTTCAACTTTGTTTATGAAGTCATTTCACACATTCACATTATTTCTTACACGTTCATGGCTAAGATGCTTAACTCAATACGCGAAATGCAATCCCGACAATTAGCATATATTGATTTACATGTGGTTGGAATTAAAATATTCTAGAAAGAAACACCATCAGATATCCAGTTACATTTGGCTGCGATTCGGGGAGATGATGTAACATTACGCAAACTTTTGGATAGCGGACGTGTGCATGTTGACTGCATCGACGAGGTAAGTCAACACTTTTTACTTTCAATGCAAACATATTTCGTTCAACATTTTGTTCTATCTCTTGAAATTTTCTTTTTTTTTTCAAATCTATCTAAACAAAACATTTATCTCTTTCAAATGTTATCTGTTGACATGACGGTCGTTCGTGGAAACATGAATAAATCGATACAAAATTGCCATCGTTTAAACTAATGACTAAAACATTATTCAAAATGGGCTAAATCAATCAATTTTTTCTCTATAATTTGAAGTGACGAATCAATTATCCAAATTTAATGATACATTTGAAAATGAAAATTCGTTGTCAAAATTGGGTCAATGAAACTTCACATATTTGTTGTTGTTTTTTCTTCTAATTTTTTTCCAATAAGAAATTTTAATTTTCGTTTTTTTTTTTCTAATCCACTGAGGAAGAAACAATAAAGTGTTAAATTCATTGTTCCAGGTTATGAGTTTTACGTTAGATTCATTTCAAGCGAATCAATTTTAAAATTATATTTCCCCTTCAAGTGCTTCATTTTCAATATTATCTAAATTGGCATTTAATAAACATACGGAACAACGATATTGCCTAGTGACTGAAACACAACTTAATTAACACTCGTATTTGCAATTTTGTGCTGTGTCTCTTTTTGTGTATAACGGATGCATAGAGCGGAAGAAATGAAAGAAACTACTAACAATGTGTGGTCAAAAAAAGTTTCAATAATGCGATAGTGTATCGATGGGGCGGGTGTATTCATTAAAAGTGTGAATTATGTTAATAAACTACAATTTTTGATTTCATTTAGCCGTTTATAGATGATAATGATTATTTCAAATGTCAGAAATTATTAGAGTCTAAAGATTATTGAGCTGTGGAATGTTGAATGGAATATTTTTCCACTTTCAAATAGAAACTATTATCATTAGAACCATTTTTTGCTTTTAATTTTTGCAAGTTTTATATTTTTCGTTTGATTTCGTAGGATCAAACGACTCCATTGATTTTAGCGGCTGCTGGCGGTCATGCAACTTGCGTTACCGAACTGTTGGATCAAGGTGCAAATCCAAATGCACGACGAATTGTGAGTAAACGATTTATTCGGTAAATCATTGAATTTGATTGAAAGAGATCTTATCACTTTAGACGGGAACAACGGCGCTTTTCTTTGCTGCTCAAGCCGGGCACATTGATGTCGCTAAGATTTTAATTCGATATGGAGCCTATATTGACGCCGCATCTCTCGTAAGTCACTCAATTGTTTAAAAATGATTTTCAACGAAATGTCCGCTTAAATCCAAGACAGAAAAATCCCACTTCACTCCAAACCTATATTTTCCTTTTAATAACGTGTGTTTTATGCAATTTTCCAGGATGGAGGAACTCCATTGTTTGTAGCATGCCAAGGTGGTCACATTAATATGGTGAAAGAGTTGATTGCCCTCGGTGCAAATGTACACGTCAACATGAAGGTAAATCAATCAAAAACAAGGCCAATGAACTTTCCATTCGAAAACAAATGTAGTTTCAAACATATCGACATTGATTGAAGCAATGCGAACGTGACTTATGTGTGCATTATTATCCACTTCAAATTCTAGGATAGAGCAACACCGATATTCATTGCATCGCAAAATGGACATCGTTCTGTGTTGCTGACGTTATTGGCAGAGGGCGGTGACCCGAATGTGTGTCGTATTGATGGCGCCACTCCTTTGTGGATTGCAAGCCAAATGGGTCACGATCATATCGTTCGTGTTCTATTGAAGAGTGGTGCACGTGTTGACGCGGTACGCTGTGTAAGTTGCCTTTTCCAAATCATTTCCTACTTTTATTTCTTCCGAAAATGACTTCCGCATTGCAAACAAATATGACTGATTGAAATTTGATTTATAGGACGGTGCAACGCCATTGTTCAAAGCAGCGCACAAAGGTTTTTCGGCCGTTGTACATGAGCTTTTGAAATACAAGCCAAATTTGTACTTATTACCGGTAATTAGAAATGTTCAATTCAGTAATCGGTTTGATTGATGCTTTCAATAAATTTTTGTTTCTTTTATTTTGCTGGCAGAACGGTGAAACTGCATTACATGCTGCAGCGATGTTTGGTCACCTCGATGTTGTGAAGCAATTAGTTGCGGCTGGCAGCGACATTACGTGGAAAAATCAAAACGGATGCACCGCATTACAGGTGGCACGACAGCAAAATTTCACAACAGTCGTTGAATATTTGGAAGAACGTCGCACTTTAAATCGTACAAACGTTAAACAATTCAACCAAATATCGTGCTAAATACGTTGTATACCACGACAATTCATTTCAATGCAATCATATGAATATTTTTTTTCAAAATCTCTTTGGAGATGGAATATTCACTTCGACATTTGCGATAGTTCAAAGACTTACAACAATACAAATGACGAAATTGACGATTTTTTTTTAAGTTTCATTGTTTGACAAAGGAACAATTTATACCACCTGTTGGTATAGAGATAACATTATGTATATATTAGCTTTGCGCTCAATTTACAATCTGAAATATCATTACACACATAAAATACGACAAAAACTGTGTTCATACATGGTGCTATTAATCGAATTTCCATGTAATGGAAAATATTTAATAATTTATTTTAATGCACAGTCGAAACGTACAAGCATGATAACTTTTTACAATCCGTACATGTATTTTATAGTTAACAATTGACATTATTCATTAACTAGTCGCTCAATTACAAATATTTACTTAAAACCTGAAGCTTTACAAATGTTCAATAAAAAACGTTAAATAAATAAATTATTTAAAATAGAAATATATTCTATTGATCCACAATTTGAACTGACTTAATATCAGGGATTGTTCCTCAGAAGAGAAGGAATGGTGAGAAGGAAAATGAGGAGAGCGAGGAGGATCCTCCTTTTTTTTGCTCAAAGGGCTATTTTTATCACAAAAATATCATTTTTAGCAAAAAACATTTTCCTCCTCAGTTGAGGATCCTCCTCCCCCTCCTCATTTTCCTCCTCACCATTCCTCCTCCTCAGAGGAACAATCCCTGCTTGATATTGAATAGATAGATTTCGAATACAAACAATAAATAAAAATCGTTTTCAACCCATTTAAAAATTGTAGATTAGCCCATTTTATTCAATTCAAATATCCCTTCTACCTGAAACACACCATGAATTACGATTTGCAAATAACATTCCATGGAATATCATAGAACCTACCACTGGGTATGGAAATATTAGGAACCGATGCATTATGTGGTTGAAAAACATAAAAGGTAACTTGACTACTTAATCTTGAAAAAATACTCATAAATCATTCGATTGTTATATTTCTAATTTGCTTTGTTCAATTTTTTATCTGAATATGAATGGAATGAATTTGTATTGAACAAAAGAGCGAATTTTCAATTCCTTTCATACATAAAATACTTTCATTTACTAATTGCTGTCTGAAAAAAATGTATATTTCATTTACAAACCGAATGTTATTGTGAAATAACGATTTAGTATCAAATGTGTTTCCGAATACATTGACTTTAGATGTCATGTGAAACGTCATCAACTGTCAACTAACAGACGGCATTAAAATGTCATTTGCGGTGATATGAAATAAAAAATCTATAACACTACAAATTTGAGTAAAATTTCAATAGATTCCATAGGAATAGGACTGTTTTAGTTTTATTTATATACTTTTACAAATCGAAAATGACGCAACTTGTGGCAAAAGTAAAACCGGCGATTTTCATTCCGTATAAAATCGATATTAAAGCATTTTGTATTTTTATGTAGGATTTTCCGGCGATGAAAAATGATAATTTGCTAAAAGCAGCTCGCGGTGAAGATGTTGATCGAATTCCAGTGTGGGTCATGCGTCAAGCGGGTCGATATTTGCCAGAATTTCAAGTAATGTTTTCTCTTATATTTCAAATAGGAAATCACTTGAAAGAAAATGTTGTTCTGTTTCTCAATAGGAAGAACGTAAAGTGCACGATTTTTTTACCATTTGTCGAACACCGGAGCTGGCGTGCGAAGTGACAATGCAACCATTACGTCGCTTTGATCTGGACGCTTCCATTATTTTTTCCGACATTCTTGTGATTCCACAGGCATTGGGAATGACTGTTGAAATGCTGCCAGGAAAGGTATTTATGTTCCAACCATTCATCAATCATAGCTAATCATAATTTGTTTTAGGGTCCACACTTTCCCGAACCATTAGTAACGCCATCAGACTGTTTAAAATTGAATGCAACTGGAGCTGTAGATCGATTAAAGTATGTGGGCGATGCAATCACAATGATGCGACACAAATTGGATGGGAAAGTACCATTAATCGGTTTCACGGGTGCACCGGTATGTGTCAGTAGAATGTCACTAAATTGATAATTAAACATCTTTTTTCTCTTATAGTGGACGTTGATGGGTTACATGATCGAAGGTGGCGGTAGCAAAACAATGTCATTGACCAAGGGATGGCTCACCGAACATAATAAAGAAGCCCATGAGCTACTTTCACTTCTTACGGATACCATCGTCGAGTATTTTGAGATGCAAGTCAAGGCCGGCGCACAAATGCTCCAAGTATTTGAATCGAGCGCTGATTACATTGATAAGAAGCAATTTGCCGAAGTATCATTGCCATATGTTCGTAAAATTCGTGAGCAGCTTCGAAAGAAATTACAAGACCAGTCAATTGAGCCAGTTCCAATGGTTTTATTTGCAAAAGGTGGCGGACATTCATTGTCTGAACAAGCCGAGTGTGGATATGAAATAATTGGATTAGATTATAACGTTGATCCAATTGAAGCTAGAAAAGCAGTCGGACCAAATGTTACACTCCAGGGCAACTTAAATCCAGAGGACATGTACCTACCACAGGTTGGAATCAACATTTAAACCATATTCCATAAAACTTTCATTTTCGAAATTTACTTGAACATTGTGCTACTTTTTCATTCACACAGGATGAAATTAGGGCAAAAACTGATGAAATGGTGCGTAAATTTGGTAAAAAACGATACATTGCAAATTTGGGACATGGAATTACACCACAAACACCAATTGAGAGCATGCACACTTTTGTTGATACAATTCATAAAGTTTCTCAGGAATTGTGATGAGCGATATTGCGAAAATATTGTTGATTTTTTTTAATTAGAAGCGGTTATTGGGATTATATAGAACAAAATACAGAAAAATATTTTACTTTTATTGAAATTGTTCAATTTTATTTATATTCAAATGGAAAATAGAAAACACCGATGTGTTGTCGGGGAAAAAATGGTGTTGCTGCTTTTAAAGCGATTGTCTATTTGTATTTGTGTGTGTGGCTGAGTATGTGAATATGTAGAACTGTCAAGGAATCGACACGCTGCTATGGTAAATATACACGCGACTATCTAGGTATGACAACAAACACATACATGCGCATTTGGTGAATGAAAGCTTCATCGTTGTTTTCTCTTTCTCTCTGCCTACATACATCGCTTTCGCCATACAGTATGCATTGTCGAAAAGCATAGTTTTAGGAGGAATAATAATCAAAAAAGACTGCTCCAATAAAGCGAAAGTGTCAGTGTTAAAGTACACAGACCCATATATCCGAAGGAAGAAAAAACTGTGAAGAAAAAATTGGTCGGCTCAGGGAAAAAATATAGATATTCAGTTGATAGAGAGCAGAAAAAAATTATCCTTATAAAAATAGAATTGGCGATTCGATTTTGTTTCTGTGACACAAAACTTTCTCTTTCTCTAACGCTCAATAGAATCAATGATTTTTCGTGAATTTCATTTTAATCCATCAATTATTTAGTTTTGTAATTTCGTTTTGGTGGTTTTTTCACAAAAACAACTGAACAATTTCTCACGGTAGAAGGTGATTTTGTGATAAGTGACCAAAAATCCTATGGGAATTTAATGGCGATAGCACAGAGAAAATTATGATAAATTGATTTTATACCATTTGGAAAAGAAAATGACGAAAAAAGTTCGGAAAAATTTGGAAGAGTGATGTGTATTTCGGATACGCCAACGTATGTTTAAGTAAATGAAATTGTGTCGGTCGATTTTTGAGCAAAGGAATACAGTTAGATTGTGGTCGTCGTGATGTTCAAAAGTCGAACGGAAGGAAGTGTTGTTTTCAAGTGCACCGTACGCTTACTTGAAGAGCCAGATGTACTTGAATGCGAATTTCAGGTGGGTTTTTAGCAAATAGATTGATGCCGAATTTGAACTTTAACTTACACTTGTGACCAAATTATCGATTAACTGTGACATCGATTTTTTTTTTCTGTTCATCCGGGTTTTTTTTTTCATTTGGTGTAGTTAAAACTTCCCTGGTAGTGTTCGACTCCTTTTGAGATATTCGGTTGTGTATCGCACGTATACATTACACAACCAACCAAAAATACCGTTTTTTATCGCCTTTCTCGCTCTCGTCATATATCACTTGACGTTTGATGGCTATTAAACACGCACGTCAAATTGTAAGCTCGTGTAGTAAAATAACACATGCTACTTGAAAGTGCTACTGGAAAGGACTTTGTGTCCGTATCTAGTTCATAAGATACTAATCCTCGTCTCATTAGCATTCAATTTGAATTTTTGTTTTCCTCTTAAATGGATTTGAAGTGGTTTTTATAGCAAGCAACATTTTATAAGTGATTTTTGTTTCTCTTCCGTTCTTATTTTCGGTGATATATAGCCAAATCACAAAGGATGCAACCTCTTGGATTATGTTTGCGAACAAATGGACATCAAGGATAAAGACTACTTTGGTCTTCGATTTGTGGATGTAACACGACAGCGAGTAAGTCAGCCTCCCTCGGATTTTGTTTGCGCAATGAATTTAACGATGTATTTTTTTATCGCTTTCTTTTCATAGCATTGGTTGGATATATCCAAATTGATACTCAAGCAAGTCAAAGGTACTTGTAATGAAACATTTAGTTTTTTATGACACTTTTTCTATTTTGAGCAAATATTTATTATTGAATTACACACATTTTCGGTGGATTTTTTTCCTTTTAGATGTTGAGCCAATTGTGTTCTCGTTTCGCGTGAAATTTTTTCCAGCTGATCCATTTCGCTTGACTGGTAATTCGAAGATAATGATTTATCAGCAGCTTAAACGGGACCTAATTCATGGGCGATTGTACTGTTCAGCTGGTGAAGCGGCTGCATTAGGATCACTCATTGTGCAAGGTATATCTTTTTTCTTTGATTTTCAACAAACTTTGATATATACTCTTTTTTTGTGTACCTATGTTTTTTAGCTGTAAGATAAAAGTGCATTCTCGCGGTGCATTATGTGTTGCGATTTATATGCAGAAAGTTTTCGTCATTAAATTGGATTTTTTTTTTTTCCAAAAAAATTCGCCATAAAACAAAATGCATTCAAACAATTTTCATAATCTGTTCAACATGCAAATGTAATACGCATAAATGTTACTTTTTTCCACGCTGTCGTCGTGTTCTTGTAATGGTTGCCTCGCATGTAATGCAAAATAGTAATAACTTTTTGAGTCGGATGTTCGCATTTGATTTATACATTCTAAGCGTTGTAAGCCATGTGAAGCCGTCTAAGGGTAGATGACTTACAAAACCCAAATCTAGCTCTGCATTCGTCAATTTTATCGACGGAACATTAAATGGACATTTAATTTTCGGTTGTGAATGTTCGATAAATTCGGTCCACATTTGATTTTTCTGATTCAAAACTTTGCATATATCACGAATAATAAGTGATTCGTATTTTTCACATCCGGTCATATTGAAATTGCATCGGACTGTAGTTACGAAAAGCTGCAATTAAATGGTTTTGCTTAAAATGTGTAAAAAAAAATGTTTGAAACAAAATAAAAATGTTGGTCAAATACCTCAATTGGCCCAGTAAAGTTGCCTGCGACCTTAAGTTCTCCATTCACTGCGTATTTATTTCGGATCGATTTTGTAATTTGGCCATTAAAATGTACAAAAATATCGTCTTCTTCATACTCTTCAAAACTGATTAAATTAATCGTTTTCGATTGAAAAGTGAAGCATCCAATAAAGTTATCAGAATTATAAAGTAGCAAACTTGTAACAATAAAGATCGCAATGATTCCCGTAAGGTTCATTTTGAATGAAATTACTTGTCGAACTTGTTTTAAGCGTGAATTAAATGTGACGGCGTTTTATTCGAATTTGCGCCTTTTTATTCAAAACTTCTAGACTTAAATTTGCATTGCAATTATCACATCCGTTTCACGATAAGTTAAACATAACAAGCACATGAAATTAATGGTCAATTTTATTCGCATTAAACAGCTCAATAAGATTTGTATTATTTCACTCGTTATACGAACAATTTATTCCCATGTACAATAATAAACGATATGCGTCCATGTGAATAATGCATTTATCCTCATTCTATGTGGATTTTGTGCGATTAGTTCGATTGACAAAAAAAAAAAACAAAGTGATTTATGGATTTAACTAATTTTGTGTTGATATATATCTATCGAATATATCGAGAAGAGAGTATGTTATTCAGCGCTTATGGCTGAGTAATGTCTGAATAAAAACATACTCTCCTCTCGATATTTTCAATAGATATAATACCGTAAAAGCATATTTTCCATCATCGTTTATTGGTGACGTTTTGTTGGACGTGGTCTTGTGATTGTTGCTTCGGCAATAAAACAAAAAAGCAATTGTTTCCGATGTCGGACGTGTGCAATGGGCTCGTATAATTTAACGAATGTAATCCATGTGTATCCATCAAGAGGTAAACGAGCCGCAAATCCCAAATCCAATGTAAAATTCATTATTTTGATTGATGACACATCGAATGGACACAATGGTTTTGGTTGCATATGCATCACTACCCCACGCCAAAACTTATTTCGTTCATTCATGAATATACAAATATTTGGAAAATTGAACGTATCGTAATTTTCACATTCATTCAATTTGAAATCACATCGTTTGGTTATGGTTTGAAACTAAAAATGAATGATATACATAATTTGTGTGGAATCGATTATTTTGTATTTGACAAACATTTACCTCAATTGGACCAGGCAACTTTTCACTGATTGAAATCTCGCCATTTATGAGATACAAATTTTGAGCAATATTTTCAATGCTGACATTAAAGCGAATGGCATTTTTTTCGTCTTGCGGACATGCTGAAAATTTATTCAATGTTATTGTTCGTAATTCGAAACTATAACAATTGACAGTGTCCATGAAATGCAGCAATGAAAGGAATGAACAAAAAACTATCTGATTATTCATTTTTTATTTAATTCCAAAAATGATTCAGAATTTACACTTGAAATTCTATCGTTTTCAATGAAACTTTTTATCTGAAATGACACACATTTATGACAACAAGTGGCCTTTATAAGCGAAACTGGAATTAAGTTGTCATTAAGAAAAAATTCGACGCAAAACTGTAAATTTAGCTAATTTGAGTACGATGCAATTGGTTGGTTAATTGATTTAAAAGAAACGACAAACTGCGATAAATCATTCCACTGGCTAAGCTTAACAGAAATCACGAAACGCGTGACTAAAACTTTGTCAAAATAACTAATGTAAAATAAATTACCATTTAATTCACTGCAAATTATTGAATTTGTTGGAAAAGGTGTTTTTCAAGAGCAATAAAAATGAACTATGTAATATGCATTTTTTCACTTATAAAGTTGCGCTTCAGGAAGTTGTAATCGGTATGAAAAAATGGGATACGGAACAGTGAAGTAGTTTTAGTTTCTTTGTATTCTAAAGAAAATTTTGCAAAACAATTACTAACTAGGTCACATATAAAAACATAAAGTGAAATAATTCAGAGCATATCCAAAGGAATAATTGTATATACATATTTTTTAAGGCTCAAGGAAAACATTTATTGATATCAACTTTTTACAACAAACATCAATTTACAGTTCAAGTAAAAAAGCGCAAAAACAGAAATCAGTTCATTTGAAAATAGTATACTCGAGGTGGCAATTTGTGCGACTTATAATTTATTCTTTACTAATTTAAAGTTTTCAAACATTTAGAAAAAAATCTGCGTGATACCACAACAAATGAGAAAAAATATGATAAGAGTTGCTCATTTTAATTATGATGATCATTTCCGCTCAAAACGTGTATGGTAGAAAATTGCTGCCAAATTAAATCGTAAATAATGATGGATAACTTCAATTGTTATTGAAGGCAAAAAACCGAGACGAAAATTTACTGCGTCATTTGAAATAAGTGTCAAAAGATTTTTTCCTTTCTCTCTCAATTTGAAGATTTTTTTCTGGAACTTCGCTGTGTAAAGGCTTTTATAATATTTACTTCGTATTTTTCACAGGCAATCAACTGCTTTTTTTGCCGAATATTGTTTTTATATACCTTAATGACAAAAATCCAGTTGAAACCCGCAAGCGGTAAATAGGCAATATATCCAAGATCAACGGTTACATTTTCTGCTCTGTATGATCTTTTATTCAATGGACACTTCATTTTTGGTTTCATTTGACTTAAGAAATCGGACCACAATTGATCTTTTAAATCAAAAACTTTACAAATGTCACCGATATTCATTATATCATATTGTTCGCAGTACGTCATGTTGAAATCGCATCGTTTTGAAATAATTTGTAGCTGAAAATTATTCAATAGAAATTGTGAATACCTTTCCCACACTAGGAGTGCAGAAAAGTAAATTGGATCATTTTTGGATTATGCTGGTAAAATAATTTACCTGAATTGGTGCTGCCACGACTTCCTTTAGTACAAATTCACCAGAGACAAGATATTTATTTCGTCCTAAGTGCGTAATATTTCGATTGTATTGTGAGAAAGGATTTGTTTCATTTGTATGGCACAGACTGACGTTTCTGACTGTTAATGTATTTGGCTCAAAACGGTAACAATCAATCACTTGAATTAGGCAGCGAATGTATAAATATGTTTGGAGAAAAATAAATCCTATCTTCATGATTAAGTGGTGTTGCTATGAATGTCAAACAACAAATAATTGAATTCGACTTTTTTATTAATATACAAAAATGATGTAACACATATCTAATAGTTGTGATGTAATGAAAATGGTGATCTACTGATCCAAAAATTTGATATGAAATATCATAAATACTTGTGTGTTTAATTACTTCCGCAAAAAACATTTTTCGGGCTCAAATTTACTGGAAAATTGCAGCATTTTAAATATTAATTGTAAAATAACGAACAACTGAAATAGTGAATGATGAATTTATAATCTTTCACATTCTGATCTTATCGAAATGGAATGGCGTAGCTAAAAAACGAAAAATCTAAAGGAAAAAGATATAACTGAATGAATGAAGCAGTAAATGATTAAAAAAAAAACCTTAAATCCAACTTCTAGTTAGCCACTGTCTATGAAAGTAAAAAAGTATGCTGCGTCAAAAGTTATATAATATAACTATATTATTTATGGTTAGGCAGTCTGTAGACTATTACTTTTAATATATGTGTATTTATGACATGTTTCCTGAACAAGAAGTTCTAATAAGCTTAGACGATGTTCTAGAAAAATTCATTTCGCAACATATTTTATTCAATTACAAAGTACATTCATATTTTTATATTCATGATTTTAAAAAATCTTAATCAGTCCCAATCCTTTTTGTACGAGATGATGTAACAGTTGCTTCGACCATTAAGCAAAACAATAGTTTTTTCCTTTGTCGCATATTTTTAGTAGGTTTCAAAGCTTTGAAGATTAGATTCCACGTACCATGAATTGATGGTAAATTAGGTAAAAAATTTAAATTGATCGTCGCATTTATTACTTTGATCGACCCTGATTTGAGTGGACACGTTGCCCTTGGTTGTGTGTGATCTATAAAATCACTCCAAATTTTATCCTTTTGATCCAAGATTTGGCAAATGTCGGGAACAGTCATTGTGAAAAAATGTTTACATTCAACCATTTCATAATCGCATCGTTTCACAGCTATTTTAAGCTTTAATAAAATGAAATCAAAATAAGCTATCAAATTATGCAAAAAATAGTGAAAAAGGGTATAGTTTACCTCGATTGGACTGGATATAGCCTCATCTAGTATAAATTCGCCGTTAACAGAGAGGCTATTGTTGCCAGCATTTGTCATGTTGGCAATATACTGCAGCGCAAGATTATCGTTTTCTTTACATTTTGAATATTTATTCAAAGTAAATAT